ATGACTCGTAAAATAACGTTTCGTCATATTATCTCCGACGGTAGTGACCTCTGCCTTAAAAGAGATATTCCCGATTTTTGTCACAAGATTTTCTTCTCGAGTTTTTCCCGTTTCGAGGGTCTGCCGTCAGGTTTGCGACGCCATCTTTCTTCCCATGCACTCCCGGCGAAACTTTTCACCTTTTCCGAGTCTTTTAACAAATAATGATATTTCTAACACCGGGGACATCGAAAGAACAAAAGCTAATAACGAAACAATTTGCAATCCGGGGTACAGGCTGCTCGAGGCATTTAAAGGGCAATTCGCGCGCCGTAGTGCGCTCTCTATGCGGATTCTTTTTTTTGTTACTTTACGTCCACGGATGTGCTGATTTTTTTTTCTTTGCAACGTTAAGCCGTACGTTAACTCGTGGTTGCAATAAATGATATTTTTCGCGTGCATTTTATTGCATTGTTACGAGCTGGGGCGCTCTTTAAAGGTGAAAGTAGGCCGAGCACTTCTTTCCATTTTTTCCGGGGAAATAAAAAAAACTAGTCTTTTAATATGGAGCAGAATCTCAAATAGTGTCGTAAGAAACGCTTGGGAGATGGAGGTTTTATTTTTCGTTTGGCGAATTGTTAAATTCTTGGCGAGTCTTACGTTTTAAGAGGACTTCTTCAAACATTTGCGGAAAGGGACCGAGGCGTGTCTCTGAATTTTGAGGAAGAAGTGCTAAAAAAAAAAATGGTTTGCCTTGCGCTCGAAAACTTGTTTCCAGAGTGTACTTATCGCTTCCTGCTCCTCCCCGGATTAACTTGGTGCGCAAATGATTACTTGCATTACATCATTGTCGCTCGAGTCTGCAATATGACCGGAAAAGAGATGTTTAGTCATATAAAATAAAGCAACCGTGAGGCCAATTATCATCTCAAAAGACGTGCCGCTCGCTCGTCGGGATTCCGGAATTTCTCTCATCTTTTCGCGATCCGGTCGCGAGCCCCGAGGTACTTTGACAATTTTTCCCGAAATTTCGTCTCTTCGCGAAAATCCGGTTGCCCTCTAAATCAATTGTCCACCTCGTCCAGCTAAGTAGAGATACTAAAACCAAGCGGAATTAAACAGAAAAAAATATATAAGCTAAAAAACAAAACTTCACTCGTCGAGCACTTGAGGTTTGCTCATAGCATATAATCATTTTTTCGGTTAATAACATTAAGTTTCTAATTTTCATTATTTAATTCCATTTAGATTTGATCGTTTTCATTCGGTTGGGCGAAACGGAGGATCGTAAATATTCCCAGGCATATAATTTTTCGAACCGACGCAGTCCGCTTGCATTGCATGCACGCGCACCCGTACACTCAAGCCGCGCATGCCGTATGCACATGCGAGCTCACCTGATAACTCACGTAATCGGCGTCCTTTTCTCGATTCCTCGGAAGAAAGCTCGGTAACTTTCTCGTGTATCTAAGTGTACACACGCATAACGGGGTGCATCGACACCGACGACACGCGTCGAGATGCAATCGGCGACCAGCGTTACCGCACGTCCCGACGCCGGTGACACCAAGATGTGTCCCACGTGTGTTAATCCACCGTTACTTATTATAAGACTGAAGTTAATGCCGTGTAAGTGTGTAACTAGGACTGTTCTTACCGGTTTGCGTAACAACTTATACCGGCTCTTCCGCGTTGGATCGTAACGAACGAGACGGGGCTTTTACTCCGGTTACGTCCGAACTATCCAACGTTACGAAGTGAATCGACTAGATCCGACAAATGTTGTCTATCAAGTCGTTCACAGGGGAATAATTAGAAGAGCGACTCGATAAATTGAAAATGGCGCCCGAGGACGCGGGCCGGTCACGTTTTGCATCTTTTGGAATTTCTCTCGGTACTGGGGGAATTTTTGCGGGAATCGTTGCGACACGTAATTCGCTTCGATTGAACGCGTCGAACGTCGGGGGAAACCGGTAACGTAAGCTCGGCATGATTTCACCGAGAGTGGCCAATTTTATTACCGAAGCTGGCTCCTTACGTCACGGACATCGCGTTCGAACGTTTCCCGAAAGTCGAATCTCTCCGGACGTTGAGATGCGACCGACCCAAAGAAATCATCTGCGAGGATATATACGTTTTTTTCTTTCGCGGTATTCAACGCAAATCGAGATACCTGGAAGAGTCGAGTAACGCAATTAAAGGAAGATCTCGGAAAATAGACAACTCGATTCAAAGATGGCGTCGGCAGTCTTAGAGCGGACTCGAGATATACGTGCGGAGTTTTCGGTGGAACGGGGCGAAGTTTTTCAGAAATCGGGGAGGCATTGCGCTACGTAATGCTTCAATTGAACGCGGCGAACGTCAGAGAAAACCGTAACCGTTGTAACGTAAACTCGACATGATTTCACCGAGAGTGGCCAATGTTATTACCGAAGCTGGCTCCTTTCATCACGGCCAATATTGGCCATCACGTTCGGGCTTTTCGCGCCCTCTGAAAGCTCAGTTCAGCCCGAATCTCTCCGGATGTTGAGATGGAATCACGTCGGTCGGAAAAGCTCTCGGGATTTTCAGCATTTTGAGGGCACCCCTCTGTTTCTTCGGAACTTTGCCCCGAGCCGAAAGTAATTCTCCGTGCAAGAGGATTTTCCCGATTTCGCCAATTTTTCCCACCTCGAGTTCGCCGATCCGCAAAAGTCAGATCGAAAATATTCGATTTTTTTTAAACCGGCAATTTAATTCGGGGTGTGGCTGTTCTGGGAAGAATCGAGATAAGTTCAATTTGGGAAGACATAAATTAGAAATGTTGAAGTTTGGAGGACTTCTTGCTTCCTAGGTACATGGAGAAGAGAGAGGGAGGAAATGGGAGAGAAAACTTGATTTCGAAAAGAAATGGTAAACGCTCGACCCATTTTTGGGTAAAATTCGCCTTAAGGCGGAAATATCGGAAAACTATTCGAGGAACGATCGATTGGATTTTTTTTTAATCCTCGTTTTGCGCAAAGAAGAGGGTCAGAAATTTTTTAACCGCGTTCTTTGTCACCGACCTTTGTCCGTGTTTCTTTCTCGCTGTGAAGAAGTGTCCCGAGTGTCCTTACCGATCTCCTAATGGGGATTACACAACGTGAAGTTTTTACGAGTCGCAGGAATCGACGGTTAAAAATTGATACTTGACGTTCGGGTGAGTCTCACTTCCTATTATTATCCGAATACATGGCGTCATTAAAAATTTGATATTCTCAGAGTTTCTTAATAACCATGTTTCCTCTTCGTGCCTGAATATCCAATCGACCTGGAAGTCGACATCTGTCCTTCCAGGTGGTCGTTTATTCGAGTTCATAGACATCGAGAGGACGCACCTCCGCGTGAAACGAGCAAACTTCGGACGAGTTTGAATCACCACCGAAGTCATCGCATCATAAGATCCGGCATGACAATTCGATCAGCAATTCCTTGGACGGAAGCGAAATTATCGTCGAAAATTTTCTTCGACTGTGCTTGTTTAAAAAACGAGAGGGTGTAACGACATTAACATGCTGCATTATCAAGGCTCAACGATTAATTTTGTGCAATGCAACGACCCACGTAGGACGGATGTACTCTTCGACCCCGTTGAACTCTTCTTGCCACTTTCAATTTTAATTCCCCTCATTTGCAGTTTTAATTAAATTAAGTAGCAACCTGCAATAAATTTCGCTGCAAGAAAATCGTGGGGAACAATCCAATATCTCCCATTATCTCTCAAAGTTTGGAGGCCGCCATTATCCGCGGATCTCTGAATAATATCTCGACTCTTTCACCATCCTCGTTAGAGTCTAAGGTGCAAGGTCAGCAAAAAATCATCGAATCATCATCGCACTTGGACATGGAGTCGTCCATCATCTCTAATGCCGAGACCTTCGTGACCGCTCCCAAAGAATAATCGGTTTCCCGAAATGAATGCAACAAAAATATCCTGGACACGGAGATTATAGGGAGAATCATTATTTATCTCGAATCTGTCGCGTTAGGTTTTACTTATTGATCGTAATCACCTCGCGTGATTGGACCGTACATGAAAACAGGACGATAAAAACCACAACGTAACACTCTTGTTCCGCGTAAAAGTAGTATAAATTAATATTGCGTGAGTGGAAACGATTAACTTATTTCGTGGAATTATTAACAATGTTGACAACGTTACGCAACGATCAAGTACTCGAATTTACGCTGTGGAGATTTTTTTTTTTTTTACCGAAAACCGAGCGTGGTATTATTTTTCTCGATTATTACCCCGAGTAAAAAAGAAATTGGTTGGCTCGAAGTAATATTTATTGCGACAAGAAAATCCTGCAATTAAAACCGTCAGCGATGTATATTTATTTCAGTCTACTAATCTTTTCTTCTCAGGGTAGTAGACGTGATTATCGGTGGTTTGGAATTACTGATAACGTTCGATAATCACTTCGGGGCCGCACCTTTAATCTCCCGATGATTTGAGATTGTGGGGGGAGATTTTAAATTAAGTACCTCGTCATCTCGAGTGGACCTTGTGCGCGTCTTCGATTCGTGGCTCGTAAATGACGGGAAAATATCTTAAAAGTCGTTGATTAATCGGTGAAATTAATTGATAATCATGTCGAGGCTCGATAACGACGTAATATCGTAACCTACTAGAGGCACTTTGCACGTTCGAAAGACGGACATTAAGCATATCTGCGATTTCTTGGTCGCATAAATTAAGTCCATCGGGTGCGACGATTTCAACATTTGAATCACCGCGAGAATGACAATGAATTTCAGGTGGGTTTACAATGAGTCAAGAGGACTTGCCTAATGCACTTGTGGATAAGTCATGGACGGCGATCGGCACGTCCGAGTGATCCGATGCACCGTTGACAATTAAAACTTGAATTAAGCGCAGTTGGACTATTCGCGTTTAATCAGCCGATAAAGTTGTTCTTGAAATTTTGGTCATGCAATTCGCAGGAAAGTCTCTCACCGGGATGAAGTCGATATTAAAGATGTGACGATTTCCGTTCCAGGAAACTCACCATGGTGGAGGTGCTGATGGAATCGGGCGGCCAGGAGGTGGTGGTGCCCGAGAGCGGAGGATCTCGATCCTCGACTCCCACGGAAGGATCGCCAAAGATCTCTCAAATTTCTGCTGACCACCTAAGCCTGTCCCCGATCCAGGACTTCTACTCCGGAGAGAACATCTTCATCACCGGTGGCACCGGCTTCTTGGGCAAATTGTTGATCGAGAAGCTGCTCAGGAGTTGCCCCGGAATCGGGTTCATCTACGTGCTGATCCGTCCCAAAAAGGGCAAGGACATCCACGAGCGAGCCGAGGAGCTGCTGGACAGTCCGGTGAGCCTATGAACAATATTTCCCTGGAAAAAAAAAATGATATCAAAATAGAATTCATGACCTGGTCTAACGGAATACACGTAACGGATTAACATTTCTTCCAGCTGTTCGACAAACTGAAGGAAACGCACCCGAAATTCCGCCACCAGATCGTCGCCGTCGCCGGGGAGTGCAACGCCCCCGATCTTGGGATCTCACCTTCCGACAGGGCGACTCTCATTCAAGAAGTCTCCATCGTCTTCCACGTAGCGGCCACTCTTAGATTCGACGAGAAACTGAAGCTGGCAGTCGCTGTCAACGTCCATGGGACGAAACTGATGCTGGATCTGGCGAAGGAGATGCCCAAGCTGAAGGTTCGCTCGTAAAGTCGCTTAAAAAATCTCGTAATCTGGAATTTAATATTTTTACAATTTGACATCCCACATGGAAATTAATAAGGGGTTACATTAATACAGGTCAAAGTTATTCGTGCTCGTTTAAAACGCTTTCTTTCCGACACTTTTTCCAGTCGTTCATCCACGTCTCCACCGCTTATGCAAACTGCGTGGAAAAGGTGATAGGCGAAAAATTCTACCAACCACCGATCGAGGCCTCTAAACTGATGACTCTGGTCGAGTGCATGGACGACAAACTCGCGGAAGACATCACTCCGCGGTAAGCTGACTTACCAATTTTTTTTTTTTTTCATTTCTTTTTGTAATTCTTTGGAAGAAATAGTCGAGAGACGAGGGAGCCGCCATCGGCAGCGGATGTAAATGCTCCAGTTTTGGATGTAAATCCCCCTTGTCTCGAATCTACGTTTCCCTGGTTTGCGGGAATCGCCGTTGACGTCAACGCGAGTCCCACTTTACGTGAAAAGTTGGAACGACGTCGAAAGTTCATGGGTTTAAAAAGTTAAAGACGCTCCTGCAGCGGCGATTCCGCCTGCAGGTGAAATTAAACGACGTCCATCTTCCCGGTACAGGCTTACCCGGTTAATGTATATATTTTTTAAACGCGTGTTATAAATTTAGCATACGAACGTTCCCAACGGAATTTCGGCGCAGATGCATTCTAGAAATTGGCAAAACATTGGGAACCAGGGAATGGTCAAAACCTGATAATAAATATCGTTTCAGGTTGCTGGGGAAGTTCCCAAATACTTACGCCTTCACGAAGGCCATCGCCGAGAATGTCATTCACGAAGAAGCCGGCGACCTGACAGTCGGAGTCTTCCGACCGGCCATTGGTAAATAAGAATTTTCCGATCCCGTCTCCGGGAAATTCTCAACATTGACCCGTCACCTTAAATGACGTTGACGATCGGGTTGTACGCAATTCCCGTAGAATTTCTTGCGACCGATGCTAATGACTTTCCGAGGACTGCCATGCAGCTACCCATTCTCAAACGTCAGAGATGCATCGGTGCATCCCTGCCCTGGGGCCCAGGATCACGTTGTTTTAATGACTTATCCCGAACGTCAACTGAATCGGCTTCTATGCAAAAAATGAGAACTCGTTGACGTAACCACCTTGCGGGGTAAAATACATTTCTAGACGACGATCGAAGGACGCCTCGATTTCTTCTGCTCTCTATGAAATCTAAATCAAAGCGTGTGCATTGCCTTTCCTGGACTCGAGACTTGCAGGGAATGCAATCGGACACTTTGTGGACAATTCTTTTTTTCTCTCCGGCATTGAGGATTTTCTAATGACGCATATTTGTTGTTCGTTATTGCGATGCCTTGACTATTATGCGGTGGGTAATTTGTTTTTCCGACCGGTTTGCAGTTATTTCCACGTACCGGGAACCCTTGCGTGGGTGGATAGACAATTTATATGGACCAACTGGAGTGGCAGCTGGAGCTGGGACTGGGTTGCTCAGATCTCTGCATTGCGATGGATCGATGCAGGCAAATGTTGTACCTGGCGATATGACCGTTAATGCATTGATTGTCAGCGCGTGGGACGTCTACGACAGGAGAAGGTACTGAAAGTCATTAAAAATCATTGGTTATCCCGATTTTTATGAAAGCCGAATCGAGTCTTATCGTATAATTAAGAACAATCGAAAACGTGAGAGAAATTCACTTTCTTTTCATTTTTTAGTGCACTTTCGTTATTTCGAGCTTATCCACTTGACTGGAAAATCTTATCGATTTGATTTGATTTCAATGATTTCCTACTTGCAGAAAGGGAGACTCGGAGTTGCCAGTCTACAATTACGTGAGTAAGGACAATAAATTGACGTGGGACCAATTGAAGGACCTCACGTCAAAGAACGGAATCCACCTTCCCTCTATAAAGGCGATATGGTACTACAGTTTCCGAAATAACAAGTACAAGTTTATTCATCTGTTCTACGTGTACTTCCTGCACTTGTTGCCTGCGTTCTTGATCGACGCTGCTACTTTGTGCGTGGGAAGGGAACCGAGGTAAGGCGTATTTTTTTTTGTCAAATATATTCCTTTCCTTTCTGACTATTACTCGAAAGTATCGACGTGAAGATTTGGTAAAGGGCCAGATTAAATTCATGTGATATCGTGATAGTGGAGCGAAAGGATCGAATTTCCGTTTAAGGGTTAATAAAAGCTATTTTGATTGAACGTTTTGTCTTCTACAGGCTACTAAAGGTCTACAGTAAAATTCACAAGTTCATGGAGGTGCTACGATATTTCTCCACGAACGAGTGGGCGTTCTCGAACGACAACGTCAACTCTATGGTGGACAAACTAACGACTCGAGATCGCGAGAACTTCTTCTGCGACATAAAGGCACTCAGTTGGGAGAAGTTCTTCGAGATGTACATCCAGGGCATCAGAGTGTACCTTATCAAAGATCCCCTCGACACTCTGCCCGAAGCTCGGGAAAAATGGCGGAAGTAAGTCTTCTTTAACTATGGACATCGTTACTAATTACCGTGAGTTACTACCCGGTGACCGTAATACTCGATTTCTGGCGAGAAAAAATGGCAGGAAATGTTACGTCGTGCCACGAATGCCAAAGTATCTCCATAAAATTACTCAAGCCTAATCTCGAGGACAAAATCTTGCTTCCGTTCTTCCCGGAGAACATATTCAGTAATTTGGAAAGAGGAAAATCTTAGAAAAAAAATGTCTTCTTAATTTTGGGCGTGACGAATGAGGAAGGGGAAGTGTAATTATTTTTTTATTTCAGGCTTTACTGGATCCATCAAGTCACCAAGGTCATCTTAGCGTACGTCGCCTTGAGAATCTCGTGGTCGGTGATATCGTCGCTCTGGTTATTGGTCGCATAATCGATCGATGATCGATCGATCGTCGATCGACGATCAGGGACGGATATTGAGCCACGAGTCGCGATTGCTACACATCGCGGAGATGATCAGGAGAGAGCGTCGTTTTCCCGTCTGGTCGTTCGCACTTTGGAAGCCGATCGGGGATGCAAGGAGCAAGGAGTGCATCGAATGTGCATCCGCAATCGTCCTGACGTTCACAGTCCTGGTGAAAACGAGGACACGGCCACGCTTTCGCGTCTTTTTGTAGAAAATCCCCCTTTACGAAAAGCGCCATATCGTAATCCCTAAAGAAGTCTTCCAAGGACCTCTGCTGTATACCGTAGTCGTAACAATTATTAAGTAATTTTAGGGCATTACGCTTAGCTGGTAGGTCGTTATGGTTAAGAAGTACCTGCACGTGACGTATCGTGTGTTTTGTATATGCCTTATTTATATTAAAAGTCAGTTCTTTTGTAAGCCTGCCGTTTACAGTCTCGGTGAAAATTTTACACCTAAGTGCGTTGCTTTGGCGATAATATTTAGTTAATTCGAAGGATAATTATTTGACTCGAAGTTGAATAAATTGCATGCGACGTTTCTTCGGAAATAATTGTTCTTTGAAATAACTAAATATTTCTTTGGTTCGATGAATTCTTTTATCTCGGCGTAAGGAGATGAAGGAATTATTTAGTGAAATTTATTTCCTCGAGTGGAAGTTTGACTTTTGACCATTTTTGAGGAAATGTTTGGATTCCCTTATCGCGGTTTTTTGAATTTGAACGGCCGAAAAATTCCCGAGTGTATATATGTTGCAAAACAAGGATTCGCCATCTCATTTGCATAATCATGGACTTTCTGATGCAGAAACAAAAATAGGCTGTTTCGTAGATAACGAAACACAACGGGATTTTATGTAAAAATATCAGCGGATCGCATGTTTAGGATACTTTAGCGATGTCAATAATTGCAGAGAGGCCACGTCTCGGTTTTTCAAATGTTCCCTCGAAATTCGTACAAGTAAACCTTGTTTTCAGATACACTTTATAATCGACAAGTTGCATTCAAGACTAGTCTTGGGATGTCGAGTAAATTATTCATTACTTGCCGGTTTTAGAAGCTCTTGACGTCATGCTTGGGGCAAAACTCGTTTTCTAGAATCTGTCAATCGATTCCTTTTTTTCATAACAGTGGAGAATATCATTCAAGTCATGATAAATCTCCATCGTAAAAATTCCTCTGGCCTTTTTCTTGCCCTCCGGCAATTTTTTTCCCTTGAAAATTGCATAATTTCGTTACTAAGTTACACGATTCTTTAAGATTGTGCAAAAAATTGGTCAGAGAGGTTTACGATGATTGAAGACTGTCTGTTTTATAAAATCTAAATTATACCCTTGTTACTGAACAGCGGTTAATGATCTTGACGGTAGAGATTATAAATTCAGCAGAAATTATTAAATTTAATATCACAACTCTGTTTAACTTAAATTAGCTGCCGAGTATGATATGGACAATGTAATTTTTTGCAATTGATTAATGCTTAAAGTTAACCAATGATTGAGTACGTAAATTTACATGGGCGTTTTTATCAGTGCACCGTCTTTGAGAGTGCAAAGTTATTTTGTGGGAGAACACAACTCGAAATTTGTTAAATCTACTTTGGGGAAATTCAGGGTACTTCGGCCTCGTCATCATGCTTTTGTATATAATAATCTCCATACCGTTGTGCAGGCATTTTCCACTGACGAACTTTGAAATCCGTTCAGTTCTTAGCATTGCGTACCCGGAAACTGCTTCATGAATAATTACGGACAATTGGAGCTATAGTACAGAGAAAAACGCATTTACGTCGCTCTTCGGTATCTCTGCCATCTAAACGATCGATGCACATACGTTTCCAGGATCATTTACGGAAAATTTCTAAGTTTCCCGGTTTCACCTTTAAATACCATTCCTTCGCTTTCACTCAAACTCGAAGTCGGTAATTACCGAATTCTTCATGGAAAAGGACCATGAAAATTATTATCAATAATCCGGGGAAATTAACGGACAGAAGTATGTCCGCATCTAATCGTAACTCTAGTCTAATCAATTATATTCATCGAGCGTAATCGATAAATCGAGGGTCTCGCCTCGTGATTCACTCCATTGACAGGTGTATATTTATGTTTCTTCCTAATGATAACGCCGACCTCCTTTTTATTCCCTTTTTTATCAGCCTGATTTTGACTCGAGCGGGTATCGCTCTTTCTAACGATGTTCCCTTCCTTTTTACACGTGTATCGAGTGGTGCCATTAGATCGCTGAATAAGGAAGCATTTTCGTAGTTGAATTGGTGTTCAAACCGAAAGCGGCCTTGCGGAGGCGAACACGGTGGGGAAAGATCACTATATAAGAGAGACGCCGAAGAACGACAGTCTTGCATTTCCCTAGATCGGATCGCAGACCGGTAGTGAAATCTCGAAAACGCGTCATTCTCGACCCGGAGTGCGTTTACGTGGCTATTACGTGGTGACATAATATCCGGAAACCGTCAGGAAAAAAAAAGGAAGTGAATTAAGTCGGCGCGAATATTTTCCCAACAGACGGTGAGCTCCTGTTGAGTTAATAGTAATCGTTGCAAAATTAAATTATGAATTACCACCCGGAGTGCTTTTGATATTAGTAATTGTGCAAGGACTATTATCGGTGCGTAAAGAAATGATAAAACATTTATCTACTTTTCGAAATTTATGGGAATATGCAATTGAAAGGAATTTTCGCGTGCAGCTTGGGATGCATTCTTGGTGGAAATGTTTCATTTTCGAGTTTGAGAGGTCGAGACCCGGGGAAAGGAATCTTCCCAAAAGGGGGGAGAAATTAGATAGTGTTTATGCGGTAATCGTCGAGTTGGTAATTTCCTAAGAGTCTGCAGGAGCTGCGGAGAAAGTGACGATGCAACGCTGACGCGAAGTGCATGTGCTAAGTGTTAGAATTTCAATTTAATTCCTAGAGAATTATTAACAATTTCAATACGTATTTTGTGACACTTCAACCCTTTACCTGCTTTAAATCAACACGATCGTGCCGTGAATTCGATACTAAAAAAAACTCGGCAAAAGAATTTCGAAAGCTTTCTTCTCTATTTCGAAAGTGGCCGAGAAGAATTGGAAGTACCGTTTAAAGGAATGCAAACATTGGCACCAGAAAATTTCGGACAAAAAATCGAAATTTACGTTGCAATAATTCTATCTTTTATTTTACTTATAGATTTAATTCAATATGTACTCAACGTGTCGACTTCTACTTCCACGTATTTCTTTATTTTTATCTTTTCCTTTCACAATGAATCCTAATAAAAATCGAAAGCACAAAGGAAGTCCTTCGAGATCGAGCGCTTAATTCAGGATGTCAACTTCTCGTACAACTTCCATATATCTTTTTGTTACGTGACTCTGTTGTGAACATGGATGCATCCGACTTCTCGAATCCCAAATACCCGATAATGGGATTTTTCTCCCACTTTGGAATTTCAGTTCTTCCACTGGGCGAGTAAAATTTCCAGTTTACATGGGCAGGTAAATCCTGTAAATCCGAATCCCAGACTCCATTTATTTGTTTGTTGCAGAATAATAATTTCCTCGTTTTTTAATTAATCGAGGTTGGACTTCTTACGTACTCCTCTCGAAGTGACAGCTTGATAACTCTTGTTGATCGTAAATTGATCCTTTTCGTATTTATCTGCGGCGGAAAAAAATATTTGCATCATCGGGAATAGCAAACCACATTCATAATAAAAATAGCAGGCAATATCTTACGTAAATGTCATTCATGAAATACCAGGGCAGACGTTTGATAACTTTCTACTTCTAATTGGAGACCAGTAACCTGAATCGTAGGTTTATGAACTTTGTGGCGTACATGACTTCAGGTGTGCTAAGAACCTGCTCGAATAGGCAATCTAGCTCTGGTTAATGCTCGGAAAGGATTTACCCCGTTATCCTTGCTTTTAACACATTGTGTAACCGATGACGTGAGATTACACGAGGTAAAGGTGAGGTAAAAGCACGGCAAACCGGCGGCCATTTTGTTTTAGACGCGTTCTGGTATATCCGAAAGAAATTCACCGGAATAATGTCTATAAACTAGAATTATAATAAGATGCCTCCACATTACATGATAACATCCGATAATATTATTAAATAATATATGTAATAATAATATCTCTACGTATCACCAAACGCTGTGACACCCAATTTGTTAAATTTGTATACCGCACAGCATTCTCTTTATTGAAGAGTAAATCATTTAATGGAATATAAACAGTACTGCTCTCGCGGTAATATACGTAAACGTCAAAGCGACGATATCAATCGATTTGTGTAATTTGTATGAATTATGCAGAGACGATGTTGCATGTCCCGGATGAATCTCAATGAAGTCAAAGGAATTCGCTCATTGCTTTTGATCGACAAGGGCCTCTAAAAAAATATGGAAAAAGATGGAGCGGATTAATTAAACCTCTATTTTTAATGCAGATTGCATCTCACGTTTTTTCAATAAGATTGTTTATTGCATTTCAGACATGACGGTATTCGAGGAGATTCCCACATTCGACCCTTCGGAAATTCGAACACCCATTCAGGAATTTTATTCAGGGCAAAATGTTTTCATCACAGGTATGAATTTATTGTTAATTAATACGTTGGACGGCTCATTAATTTTTTGTATTTTCAGGGGGTACTGGATTTTTGGGGAAGATACTGATCGAAAAGCTTCTGAGAAGCTGCTCAGACCTCACGTCTCTTTATCTTCTGGTTCGGTCTAAAAAAGGAAAAAACGTTCATAGCCGAATCGACGACATTTTCGACGACCCGGTTGGTTCAATTAATTCATACTCGTCGGAATGAATTTTTTGGGAAATTTAATTGACGGATGTTTTGATTAATTGCAGATATTCGATAGATTGAGAAAGGAGGTTCCAAAATTTCGCCATAGGGTATTCACGGTGACAGGGGATTGCTCCTTCCCAGGACTAGGATTATCTTCTTCCGATAAGGACTTGCTGATGAGAGAGGTATCGATTGTGTTTAATGTTGCTGCCACGGTGAGATTCGACGAAAAACTTAAACAAGCCGTGGCAATTAACGTCAGTGGCACCAAGGAACTTCTGGAGCTATGCAAAAGTATGGAAAAATTGAAGGTACAGTTTTTAACAATTAATTTTATATAAATAAGTCGCCAAAATAATCGGAATTTCTAAAGTTAAATAGATTCTTCATTTTATTGTTTATTTCAGGCCGTTGTTCACGTGTCCACGGCATACAGCAACTGCAATCGCAGAGACATCGATGAGAAATTTTACGAACCGCCGATAACAGGTGCAGAGTAGAATTAATTTATGCAAAATGTAACTATTTATGTAATTATATACCACGAATATCGATGAATAGTATTTTAAAAAGTAGCTTGATAAGCTGGCGCACGTTTTAAATGTTTTTATTCTACAGGGGATAACGCCATAAAGTTGGTGCAAAGTTTGAACGACGACAAACTGGACGCCATTACTCCGATTCTTCTTGGAGATTTTCCGAACACTTATACCTTCACAAAAGTAATTGCAGAACAAGTGGTGCAGCAGTATGGAAAGGAATTGCCCGTCGGAATTTTCAGGCCTTCGATAGGTAACATTTTTAATACGTATAAATTATGTTTATGTGATATTTAGGGAGGGAAAGGTGTTACAACAATGATCAAGAGACGCGGTTGCATCTTTAACAAGTACATGACTCTCCCTTGATAACGAACACCGCATCTCTTTACTTCGACCATCCCTCTATTATACGTTAATGATATAAATTAGCGATATTTCGATGGTTTCAGTTCTCTCCTCTTATTTGGAGCCTGTTGAGGGATGGATTGACAATATTTACGGGCCAACGGGTGTATTAGTCGCCTCTGGTACTGGATTAATAAGAGCGTGGAAAATGGACGATAATTGCACTGCGGAGTTGGTTCCTGTGGATCTCACCGTAAATGCCCTAATTGCCTGTGCTTGGGACATCGCACACAGCAAGTAAATGTCTGAGTGCAATTTCTTTACAAGTACCTAATTTAGAAAAAATGTAATTAACATGAAGACACAATTTTCTGATTTCCTTTTCCAGAAACGAGGACGCCAATCCACCTATCTACAATTACGTCGCCGCTTGGAACAAAAGTCTTACCTGGGGCAAATACGTGCAATTAGCCTTCGAAACTGGGAAACACGTTCCCAGTATGAGAAGTGTATGGTGTTACAGTGTGACCACGACGAAAAGTAATTTTCTCTTCTTCATCCTGTCTTTTTTTCTTCACACCTTGCCAGCGTTCATAATCGATCTAGGACTGTTTATCGCTGGACAGAAGCCAAGGTAAAATAAAAAATGAATGATATCAATGTAATACTATATTTATAATTTGTTGCATGACATGAATTTGCGTCTCTTTCCTCAGGCTGATGAAAATCTACAGGAAGATTAGCAAATACTCCTCGATTCTAGTTTACTTCAGTACGAACGAATGGACATTTGGTATTAACAATACTAGAACACTATGGAACAAGCTGAGTAAGGAGGATAAAAAGATTTTTTACTTCTCCATGGAGGACTTCGACTGGGAAGATTACATGAAGAAGTGCATCGATGGGATAAGGATATACATTTTCAAAGACGATCCCAGCACGATTCCTGCGGCTAGAAAGCGAATGGCCAAGTACGATTACTCAATTACTAAACATGACGGTGAAGCATGATATTTATTACCTTTAATACTTACAAAATCGAGTAGAACGAAAAAAGTGGTCACTCGACGCCTGCGGCCATTTTTTTATTCATTGTTGCTTATGGAGTCAACTTTCTCGACTATTGATCGATTTGAATAAGTTTTGTTAATTGCACATTACGTGGGATAATTGTGCTAGTTCGATTGTCGATATTTAGGGACTAAAATTTATAGTTTTTAATTGTTTTTTTGCAGGATCCTTATACTGCACAAGCTCATCAAGCTTGCGGCCGTTGCTCTTGGATGCTGGCTCCTGTATCTCATGATATCCTTAATTTTCTCCTTCGCGTCCTTTCAAGGATTCATGTCGCTAGACGAAAATCTAATTGTGCGGTAAGACCGTATCAATGGTAATTCGGTGGCAAAATATACGTAAAAGTACCAAGGCGGAATGCGAGCATCTCGTTATACTATTCATAGTGCCGGATGGAATCTATCCGAAGCGACCTTGCGTCAACGAATGATAATTGCAATAATTACCATGTAAGAGAGACTGCTCGTCCTACGGCTGGAAATTGGAAACCCTTGGTAATGGCGACTTACTAATGGCACGGTACAGTACAGTACCTGCAAGGTACTATATACGAGGCTTGGAGATGTACAAAATGCAACTATTACATTTATCCATAATATGTACGTAGGTACATCTCAACAAGTCCTTAGGGTATTATATTAAAATGTGACTCGTATTTTTAGGATTGTATAATTTTTTAATAAAATTACGAGCTTATCGTGTAAGGAATACAATGATAAGTGAATTTCGCCGTAGATAATGCGGGAAACGCAGTCGGGACAGAATTCTCACTTTTCGTCATAATTTGTGTTTAATTGTGTGAAAATTAGGTGACGAGATAAGATGTCTGGCAACAATGTAGTTATTTCAAGATTATTTATTCAATATGAAAACCATTGACAAGTCCGACATATCTACCGATATGATTCAGACTTTACTCCAGAATGATAAATCGAATACATTCCCAGCAAGCTAGTAGAATTATTTGATCTCGATATTATATTTACTGTATTTATGAAGGTTATCAATGACTTACAAAATATCAATAAGCAATACGGTGTAGAGGTGAGCAGAAGCGATTGTACGTGAATAATGCCTGTGCCATTGATACGAGATCACTTTCCTGTAGTCAATCACCATGAACACCAGACAAATCAATAACCAAAGTCGAGGATAATTAAAAATTTCCTCATTCGCTCCTACGTTTCTTGGGATCCAGAAAGAAGTGCCTCAAAAATTCAGAAAATCTACCGTAAGTACAAGAACGCAAGTCGATGGAGATTAAAATTCATTTCCTTCTCTTTAACGGCAAAGTAATCTTGCCTGTAAATGCGTCAGTACACTCACACCTTGACTGCGTAATAAACAAGATTAACATTTCTTAAAGCGCATTTTCAACTCGTTGCATCAGAACGTATTTGCACATTAAAAAAAAAAGATAAGGATGGCTTCGTGGTTTTTCGAATTCTCTGATTTATTGCAAAAAGCCACAAAACGGTCTTTCGTTTCTGCGGTAAATAACGATCCTTCTCGTATTTGCAGGCCGCGTTTTAATGAAAAATCTGGAAAAACAGACGAGGTCAATATAGCGTTTAATTACATTTTTACGTTTAGGGATGGAGACGCGTTCGATAAATTGTATTTCGTACGGCGCGGCGCAAACCATCGAGTAATTACTAAATTAGGGACTAATGAGAGTTCTTGATAGACTACAAATCATAACATCATACACTTCCATCTCGCTCGACAGTCAATTTGTCTCGATGAAATTACCCCTTGTCATTTCACAAGCCTCCTGTGATAAACCTTGTCCCGGAGAGGAGGCGAAAAGTTAAACAAATAGCGCAAAACCTGCGAACAAGAAACGGACTGTAAACGGATAACGGACTTTAAGTACACCTAAAAAAAGCAAATTTGTCGAAGCATTGACGGGCGAGCAGTGTCGTATGATTCTTAGGATTTTCAAAGAAATCAGATTTTCAGGGAAGGAGCAAATGCAAACGATAATTGCGAGTCAAACCTTTTCTTAACGACTCCGCCTACTCGCATATTTAAGCTTTACTTAGGCGTACTTAAACACGGAATTATCCTCTGGACCATCAGTCGATTCTTTCCATAACGAACACCAGGATCTCCTAAATCCTGATAAGACTCTTGAATAAAAATACCACGACATTTAGTCCTGTAAATTGTTATTCCGTGGAAAGTCGCGAAAGTGGAACAGTTCGCCATTCATTTCTCCAGTTTTCAAAATGGAAGAATTTTCAATATTTAATCGGTATTTATTAATATTTATACAAGTGAACATGTGACAATGAAGTATTAATCTCCAATTTTAATACGTCCTGACCATCGGTGCTTTTTTTCGGGAATTTTGGATCTGCTCCTAAGTCCAGGTAAGGTCGAATTTATTTGAGTCCAGTTCTTTTAATTAGTAAAATAATTCTTTGGTTCAATGATAGTTTTTTTCTCGGTGCAGTTAATGAAATACTCTCTAATACAAAGGTGGCTTCGAAAACCGGTACTCGACTATGACCATATACTGTTACGCTTGCATTACCTCATACGGGGTTATTCTTTTTTATCCTCGGCATAACCTCGAATGGTTTACACCGAAATCTCACGGTCGGTTAATGCCAGTGTCCGTCCAAAGAGCTCTTTAAACTTTCACGTTGCGAAATAATAGCCAAACATCCAAGATGGCCGCCGGGCCATTGCGTCTCGACGTCGGAATAAATCCTTAACTTTAATAATAAGTTAAAAAAACGATATTTAAAATTCATACTATTACCAGAAATGACTCGGAAATTCCTAAACCGATTTTCGCGTCATCTATCCATTGACCGTTGACCGCCATTTGAAAACCTCGGATGGATTTCCATGTGCGAACAACATTGTCGTGAGTAAATTATTGTTTATTGGCCATTACTACATTAGTAATCTACATACTAAACGTACAATGTCACGGTAAGAGTTTCTTACGTAAAGTAATTTATGTTAATAACAATGTATCGAAAGGAAATGTAAATCAAATGCCAGGATTACGTTATGAATAAATGGACAGAAAATAATCGTTGATCCATTAATTGGCACGATAACATTTTTGTGGCGTACCGCTTCTCCACTACAGTGTATTCTTTTTTTACAATTGCTTAAACATATAATCAGGGTAGACACACGTTTCAATGTGAATAGAAATTAACGATTGCTCCGCGATTCCTTCGAGGTTCAGCTGAAAAAAAATTTGCGCAAACATGAATTACACCGAAATTATCGGCGATAAGAAATCGACTTGATCGTGAATATTTAATTCGGCATTTATTCGCCGCCTAGTTAAAAACAAATTAGAAGACAATTATGTTTGAAAAAACTAATGGTTGCGTAAGGGTAACAAACAGCCGATGAAATTTCCGCGTTAGTTGTCTTAATTGTCGACCATTTAACGAGGCTCTTTTCTCTCGGTACATCTCTCGTATTACAAGTAATGTCACCACGCAAGCCTGACACGTGAAATATGTCACCGATGACATAACTCTTTCACGCAGCCAAATCCCACGTGGACCTCGAAATAAAGCGACGCCTTGAGGAATATAAAGTGTCACGTTCAAGGCTCTAACTCGATTCAAAATGGCGGAAAGCACAGGAGAGCCGTCATCTTGTGCCGCTACCAGAAAATTAAGAAAAATCAACTAAAAACAAGAGCAAACATGAAAATAAGTATCTAAAAATGTTAAACTACGATTTATTAATGTTATTCCAAGATACGATGTAGCGTCTCGGATGAATTTATTGACAAAATGTTGCGTTCGAGACTTTGACTCCATTCAAGATAGCGAGAAGCGCAGAAGAGTGGCCATCTTGCGCCGCCAACTAAAGACTAAGAAAAGTGAAGTAGAATTAGGAAATCGTGAAATTCAACCGCGCAATTTGTTAAATTACGTTTCGATAATGTCAATAATAGGGGGTAGGGGTAGGAACAATTGTTTAAAGACAATTGACGGGGGAGAAATATTTGTCCCGGAATCCCGGAAAAAGACCCGCGGCCGACAGACGCCGCGCAATTCCGCTCGTTAACGATCCCCGTTGACATAAAAGTAGAAAGTATTCATCTCGCATTATGAAACCGAGGGTCTCGGCGAAACGTGTAAAATGTTCCGGGCCGGTTGGACGTTTGCAAAGGTGGCAGGGTTGGCTCTTAGAAAATGGCTAAGTCGCGTCCAGTTTTGAGGCTGCCGCGGGACTTCGTTGCCAAACTGCTCAACGTAATTCGGAAACTTTCGAAATTTTTCGGCCCCAGCCGTGACCGGGCGTCTCATTTGCGAAAACCCGAGCGAATTCGGCGAGAGATACGAGAGCCGAACACGTACTCGCTTTTACTTTCGATTCGATTTCCGTGGAGTGCAGCGGCCATTGTTCTTGCCCTGAAAAAATGCCCCTAAGAATTTTCCTCCGATAACCAATAACTTTCTAAACATTTTCCCGATTTTTTCATTTCTTCACGGTTCTATTGAAATTTTATTAAATGCCCTCGCATGTCGCCTCGCCGATTTTCTTGTCGAAACGACAGACATGTCGCAGAATAAATGGCAACTATATTCGGACTTCTGCTTTCGGTTTCTCCAGAGAACAACTATCGATCGACCCGTTGTTCGCCGAAGAGACCCTTGCGATACGTGACGAGCAAAGTAAAGTCCTGAAACGTTATTTCTGGGATGCATCAATATATCCCCTCGTGACCCGACTGCAACATCTTCGCTCTTCTTCCAGGATGCACCTGCATAACTTTCAGACATACCTTCGTCCTTAAATTAATTTCTCGCAACAGAGGATAAATAAAATGGCCGCGTGAATAATTTATCTGTCCGTAAAAACTGAACATGCACGACTCCTGGAATCGCGAGTCACATTTTTATTCTAATTTTTATGACATTTTTTTCTCATGTGCACTCCAGACATTATTTAAAATATGCATTATGAAGGGGGGTACCCTCTTCTTGTGCCATTCGCGACATGCAGTGTACATTTTTTCACTTTCAATTTCCACGGAATATAGTTACGAAGATTTGATGACCGGTTGTCCTTCCTGAGGGGGTTCCATGCAATACGTGACAGGCAGAGTAAGTGTCAAAAATGTCACCCCTTGAATGCATCAATATATCGCGACGTGACGAGACTGCAAAACCGCCTTTTCGAGACACGCTCCGCCTTTGAACCGTTTGCGCCTTAAATGTTCTTTTTTTTTTCTTTTTTTTCTGAAAATGGTAATGAAGAAGAGAATAAAGCGAGGAAAGCAAAATCGGTTGTCCTGACTGTTGATAACTCGTACAGAGTTCGGACAAAGTGCGTACAAGAATTCGACTCGGAATAATTTTAGGGTAGTTTTTTTAATCCCTTTCTCGCCGGCTGGCAACGGCATGAATATTAAAAGGGTGAAAGGAACAAATAAATGTAACACGTTGGGCTTGTTTTCGATCGAAGGAGAAGCAGTGGAACCCGGGAACGAATTACGGCGCCATAACGGACTGGAAGAGGCGGAAAGATTCACCGAAAATTGGGGACCATTTGACAAAACAACGAAATGAGTGTCCCACTCAGAAAAACGTCATTTCATCCCGGCGTGGTCGTCCTTCGACAACCTTCCAAGGTAAATTATTTAAGGCGAAATTATTTTGTATAAATTGTTCCCACACAAATTTCTGCGAAAACTGGAATTTATGTTATCACATATCCTTCGGTACATAATTTTTAATAACAGAGTCGCAAATGAAGATTGCCAACCTGATTTCAAGTTCTGGCGTACCGGTTGCGTGATCTTTTAAAATGAAATTGTACAGTTTTTTAAAAACATTTTTATATATCCGTGGTACGTTTTGGTAGCTTTGCAAGATTTCTTGGGGACGATTAGTCTCGTAATCGCGGATTAAATAGACGGAGGAAAGGATGATTTACTGGTAAAGGGTTTTCGGGCGGTTTAAAAGCTCTCCTCTCCGTAATATTCCATAAAAATTTCACCCATCCGGCGCGTTCGTCATTTTGACGAGGGCAGGAACTCGCCAATCCGATAGCTGCCCTTAATTGGCAGGAAAATTGGCTTTTTGAAAATTCCCCCCTCCTACGCGTCGTGGAAAAATTTTCGCTTTGAAGAGCCGATGACTCGACGCTGTCTACTAATTAACCGGAGGTCTCGGCATTTCCCGACACACGTTTTTCCAAACCCAGGTTAAAAATTCCATTTTTTGACGGTCAAGGTCCCTGCCAAATTGATGTCATTCTTTAAAATTATCCGGAAATCGACTTCTCGACAATTTCTTGCACCTCTCGTGTTCCAGAAAAATTGCATTCTTTCTTAAAGAGGGGAGTTTAAAGAGTCACCAACTTGACATCGTTTCCTAATTAGTTGGAATCTTAACTTCTACTTTCAAGGACGATTTTCCAACTTGAGATCGTCGTCGACGATAAGTTGGCACCGTTCCTTGAATCGTCAGGAAAATCGACTTCTCGATCATTTCGCCGACTCAGCACGTAATGGAATAATTTTCCTTTTTCACGAGTCGGCAACTTGACCCCATTTCCTAATTAGCCCGAATCATAGCATTTTCCGTCGTGGACAATTTTCCAACGTCTGGTCAAAACATCGCAGCATCGACGGCCAAGGTCGACGCCAAGTTGCAAAAATCTCTATTAACCCTTTATTAAATAAAAAATCCGTCGTTTTAAAATGACAGGAAAATTATGAATTATCCAGAATCCTCTCATTCCCTGCTCTGGAAAATTTGCTAACGTCAGGTCAAAACATCGACGGCCAAGGTCGGCTCCCCGTTGGCACGGTTCTCTCAATTGGCAGGAAAATCGGCGCGCCGAAATCGCTGGCGAATCCGGCATGCAAATCGCGCGGAATCGCGCGGAATGGCGCGGCGGGACTCATGAATGGAGCGTGATGTCACGGAGAGAAAGAGGGACGAACGAGCGCATGCGCCCGGGAGTTTGGCAGCGAGTTGCAGGGGTTAGAAGCTGTTAGACCACTGTCAAGTCCCGACCAGCGACGTCAGACCTCGAGCGAGTCGACCGCTCAGTCTTCTCCGAAGCCAGGTCGAAGAAAGTCCGGTCGAGGAGTGGTTCGAATCGATCCGTCAAAGGCCGATCGGTCGATAACCGGATGATCCTTCGCCTCGCCTATCGACTCAAGATCCAAAAAGAATTCTTTTAGAATTAGCGCGAGCCAATAATTGAACCAAGCGCGAGTGATCGAGATCGAGTGGTCGCGCGTCGATCCATCGATCGGCAACAGGGGGTCGCGCCACCCTCGAGCGCCGAAACGTCAAAATCAGCTGATCGAGCGCGCCGACGCCCCGACATGTTGCTGGACATGGACATGGACCTTCCGACCTACGAGACCTCCCTCGAAGTTAGTACCTCGTCCTAATGGATGTCTTTTGAATTTTCGACGGACTCGCTTTCGTCGCCGACCGAGGTGCAGGAATGCGTTCGCGATGCACATTCCACGATGCACGTGTTACGGCCGGAGGAAGCGATGGGAATTAACGGGGCGACTAACGGCTCCGTCGTTCCTTTTTCCACGTGCACGTAACGACTCTGGAGAGAGTCCGCACATTTTCAAAATTGCTCTCCTTCGCTTTCCCTCTGCCGTCGAGATGGGACGAGCAACGTCCCGTTCCGACGTCTCGCAAATGAAATTATCTTAACAAACTTCTCTTCGGGTTTTCCTTTTTTTTTTTTCCATTTCATTTCTTTCGACCAACAGTTTTAACTCGGAAATTTTCTGACCTATCAAAGGCGGGATTTCCTTCTCTCGGAAGGAAATCGTTTTCACTGATTTCCAAGTGAATAGCCCCTCGGATCGATTTTTGCTTCCCATCCGGGCTCGATACATTTTTTCCGAGATCTATCGACGAGACGACGAGAGGAAGAAAATTTCGACGCGGTTTCCGGACTTCGTAGAGACTCGTGGGGTAATAAGTCGTGCCATTTTCCTTTCGGAATTCCGTGTACATAACGTCGAGGACCGGCCTGCTCGCTCGGGGTTACATAAAATGGTCGTTCCTCTCTGTCCGCTCGACGACGTAACGAGTCGTGATTTCGCGTGGCTTTGCCGTCTATCCAGCCAGGTGTATTATAATAAAGAAAGTGAAACGAGCTCGGGATGAGAGGATGCCACCGAGATGGCTTCTTCGTCCGACTTAGAAAGCCGACGAACGGACGTGGACGCGCCTTCGAGAACATATGACAGCCGAATGTACGATAACCCGTCGTCTCTAACTCTCTAAAGGAGGTAACTGTAAATTCGAAGGAGCATCCCGACAGGACGGTAACCTGCTTTTTAAAGCCCGTCCTTGACCCGGAGACCTGCTTCCTGCTGGCTCCAGAACAGGTGAAACTCCTGGAAGTCCTGAAGTATCTCCGGATTTTTTTTCAATCGTATTTAAACACCTCTTAGTGGGCATTATATGACAAATTCTCTTATCTCGCTTATCGGCGATTAATTATATCAATATTTAACCCGTACTCGAAATGTCCCACAAATTTGTGCGTTGACTTATGACGGCCCAATAAATGTTTAAAAATTAAATATATTTGAGGGTGATAATTAAAGATGAATGAAATGCTTTTTCGTCCAAAGGTGAGATTCTCCTTTCAGAGCCGAGTAGACTTCTCCCGGAAGGACTACGCAATTTGTGCTACTAAAATACTGCTGAATTATTAATAACCGCCTCTCGAATATGTTGACGAATATATTACAAAGGGGTCTAATTACGAAGAGTAATAGCGACAAAATGTAGAATTCAATTTTTTGACAGGCTCAGAGCATATATTCCGACCCGCTGATAACAGACGAGGCGAACAACAATGAAATCATCGACAATGCAGAGATCGAGACGTCGAACAGGCGCTGGACGCCTCTTCAGGAATTCTATGCCGATCAAAGCATTTTTGTAACAGGTAAATTGATATATTAATGGCAGTTGCCTCTGTTAGTAAGAACTTAAATTATGTACCCGCAAATGGCGTGAATAATGTACTAAGAATCACTTCTCCAATGTCCTAACGACTTGTTTGATTAATACTTGAAAGCGTAAGCGGGATGTAAAAACGAAAGCACTTCAGAAGTTTGGACGTCACGAGAGAAAAAAGGATTGACTTAACTTTGACGTTCGAGGCGGGTTAATTAACAAGTGACATGTCTTTTTTTCAGGTGCCACAGGATTCCTAGGAAAAATCTTGGTAGAAAAATTACTGAGGAGCTGTCCGAACATCTCCAAAATTTACGTCCTAGTGAGACCAAAAAAAGGGATGGACGTCCAAAGTCGTATGGAGGCGATATTCAATGACCCGGTAAATTCAATATTTATCCAGTCCATCTAATATTTAAACAAGCGGGTGTACGGAAATCCTCTTCAGAAATCGTAATAACAGTTCCGTGAATTCGTGCTCTCGTCTTGACATTTGGGAATAATGAGTGTTTTGCCAAGAAACGGTACCGACAAATGCAAATGTATTCTATTAGACCCACAGACCTTTTTTTTACACGCCTAATATACTCGTTAAACTTCTAGGTACATTGTAGTCTCCGTTCGTGTGCTCAACTTTTTTAGGGGTGTACTTCGACAACAGAACCGTCGCTGCCATATTACATAATTTGTTAATACAATTACATTGGAATACCTAAAATGTCGCAGGACATTTTACATCTTCATTTTTTTAATTTGACAAAAACATACACAGTCGCGAATACAAGCGTCGAGAATCGGACATTTTAGCCGACCCAATGCATTTTAATTATATTTTATCTAGAGCTGCTTTGTTGTATTAAATTCAACCCTTTTACCTGTCTGACACCTGTTTAAGATGTACGATCGACTCAAGGAGCAGATGCCAAAATTTCGTCACAAAATAGTACCCATCGCCGGTGATTGCAGTGTCCCTGCCCTCGGGCTCTCTGCATCCAACCGGGCCCTATTGCTTCGTGAAGTGAGTACAAAAACCAATGAAATATGTTTATTAAAACTCTAAACGATGCTTTTTCTCCCTCGCCGAAGAAAAAATGATAGAAACCTCGTCTTCTTTGCAGGTGTCGATAGTCTTCCACGTGGCCGCGACCGTTCGCTTCGACGAGAAGTTGAAATTGGCCACTGCCATCAACATTCGCAGTACAGGTGACATCCTCGACATCTGCAAGTACATGCCAAAGCTGAAGGTAGGTCCCCAAAATTTGAATATTTTTAATATATGGAAATTCATATTTTCATTGGACGGAAATTTAATTTCTGCCCTTTCGTCCTCGTCACGTGGACATCCCAAGGGATGACGCTTTTTAGTGGAATGATCTCTGGTCGTAATCAGTCATCGTAATTCTTGATTGAGAAAGTCAGAACTAATTCGACATGCCTTGGGCAACCGTCGTGAATAAGATATCGAATACGCATCGGATGGATATCGTAACCGATGGGACGTAATCGGGCTACGCGATTCGTTTGGTAAAGCGAAGCTCCATAATCGCGTCTCTTCCTTGACACAGATTGGACTGCATACGTTTATACAGCTAATGGAGCGACTAGCTGCGTAAAACGTTGCATAACCGCCCTTCGAGGTCGAAGCCGAAATTTCTCTTGGCGGTAATTAGTAACACTAGGTGCGTACGTCCATTGCGCAGAGAAATGACTCGAGTGAATGAACCGAGCCGGGTGACGAAAATGTCGTCAATCTATAGAACCTACCTCAGGAATTTCGGCAATCGACTTGCAAATTTAATACAGGTTAAAAAAAGCGAAACAAAATTTAATCCCATTTGAGCATTGATTTTGTTATCTACAATGTCATCGAGTATGGACATTGGAACCGAATAATGAATTTCTCGTGGGAAGTAAATTTTTTTCTCCCTGGAAGAGTATATCAAAAGTAACCAGAGCTGGTTAAAAGATGTGAAAATATTTTCTTGACGGTTAGCTTGAGTTTGGGGACTGAAATATCGTTCGTCTTCGTCATTGACACTCGTTCTCGAAATTGAAAAAGGAACACCAACGGGTATGACCATGGTCTCCATTAACGAGGACTTGCTCATGGCATCTCTTCGACCTTCGATTTCGCGATATTTGCACTTCACGAGTACTTGTTAACTTATGCGCTGATATAATGGAGTTTGCTGTCCATTTGAATTTTATAGTGTACCTTCGATGACGAGGTCTGTCTGCAAATACTTTGAGTTTGTCAATAAACGAACCCCTCCGATTCTGCGAATCCTGGCTATGGGTTTTTGTTTGGTGTTCTCGAGGTCCCATGAGATCATTGTGATGGGAGGATTTTCTGCGAAAAAATGTTGCGTAGCGTGATTAATATATGAATTTAATTTTCAGTCGCTCATCCACGTGTCCACTGCATACGCCAATTGTCATCTACAGGAGATCGGTGAAAAATTCTACAATTATCCTATCAAATACGACGGTGTATGCAAATTAACGGAAACCCTGCCGGAAAGCACAATAGATGATATCACACCCAGGTTAACAAAATCCTTATCACTCGTTAACATTTACCATTTTATTTTTAATTATTCAGCATTCCTTTGCATTGGAGGAGAGTTTTTTTTTCTAAAAAGATGTTATGAATTATATTTTTGGTAAGATAGATTTTCAATTGGTTAATGTTTCTTTGCGCTTTATTTCAGACTTCTGGGACAATGGCCGAACACGTACGCGTTCACCAAAGCCATTGCGGAGGACCTCATCAAAGAAAAGAACAAGGGCCTTCCGATGGGAATGTTCCGGCCAGGAATCGGTAGGTGAAAGTCGATCGCATCGGTAAATGTCAAACTGTAAACTGTTTTTGAGAACCTTGTACTCGATTTCCTCGGTACCAGATCGGCCCTACATCCAAATCCACTTTCATTAACGTTTCTAAAATTTTCGGGAACCTTGTACTCGTTTTCCCTTTTCGGCCCGCCATCTTGGTTTTTATACTCTGGCGAAACGCAAAGCGATTAATCAGGCGACGGTCGCATTCATTTTGAAAACCCCAAAACGCACTCCCTAGAGGCATTTGATGATTTAATAATGCGCACGGAGAAATGCCACATCGTTACGAACGGTTACATCATTTCCAAGATCCGATTCTCGAAGATCACCTGTCGGGAACCGGTTCCCGGATTTCACTTGGAATCTTGTAACAGCCGATAATTATGATCGCCGATTAGCAATCCGTATGCAGATTAACAATTGTCGAAATTATATGGACTCTACTTTTGAACCCCAGAAATACTCGACGCGCAATTAAAATAAGAATTAATTTTCGAGCTGGAAGTTAAAGGGATTTCAGGGATTTCAAAATGGCGCCGGTTTGACGCTCAAACTGACTCGATGTGTCGTCTCTTGTTAAATGTCAAATGACTGTTCGAGAAACGTCATGAAGTGTCATGAAGATTCAGTTTAACGAGTTTTTTCCGGTTCTGTCGAAAGTGGGCTCTCGAGCGGCTGAAATTTGTTTCTTTTCTCGAAAATGTGTTTGGCCATCGCGCTGTATCTCATCACCGGAGTTTTGAACATATTATGGCAGATTTTACTAGCTTTGGGGATTTTTATCTTGACCCTTGTGGGCAAAGCGATACTTTTCGTGTGTGCGACCATTTACACGGTCGCTCGCCCTTCGAAACCGAACGATCCTGGAGAAGAAATCCCATTCGAGACCATGTACCCTGAAGAGGTTAGTGGCTTCGAAGAGGACCTTGCAGAAATGAGCCGAATTTCCCTGGAGACGCTGACGAGCTCGGAAAACCTCATTGCGAAACAAAAAGCAATTCGGAGATTACCCGACTCGCCTACTGTTAGAAAACACGAGAGAGAAAAGGAGGAAAGTTGACTCCAAAACATGGCTCAGTAAGAGAAATTTTAGATTAAATTCATGACTGTGGAAAGTATCAACAAGTGTCAACAACAAGATGTGTAATTATTGAACTGTAGATAAAATGGCATGTCTGTTCCTACCAATCGTGATTTACGTTTGTAGTTGAGGTTTATTTCAGAGGGTGGTTAGAAGCAGTCGAATGATACCGATAGAAGAATAGGGTAATAGAAAATGATGTTTTATTTTTTCAGTCGTATCCACAGCAGAAGAGCCATTGAGTGGATGGATAGACAATATCTATGGACCGACCGGAGTGGTAACGGGAGCATCTACGGGATTATTAAGGACGTTACACTGTGACGCGGCCAAAAATGCAAACATCGTTCCTGTCGATCTTACTGTAAATGCTTTGATAGCCAGCGCCTGGGACGTGGCCAATCATCCAGAAAGGTTTGTGAAGTCTTCAATTTTTCAGTTCTTATAAAATGGTTGTTAAGTTTATCACAGAGTTTTTGCGCACAGACGAGAGGACGACATGTTAATCTACAATTTTGTATCGAGTGTGGAAGCTCCGCTAACTTGGGGAGAATATTGTGAAACAAACTTGAAACATGGCGTTGAATATCCCTTTAGTACTTCTATTTGGTACTTGTCCTTTCGAATGAACAAGAGTAAGATAATGCATCAAATTTCTGTAATAATCCTACATTTGTTGCCTGCAATATTGGTCGACGCCGTGTGCATCTCTACAGGGAATAAGCCCAGGTAGAATTGTTCTGCCAAATGCAGTATATTAATATTCACACAGAATTATCCAGTACATTTAGAGGCAAATATTTGGACAAAAAAGATATTGGTTTAAAATTTTCCAGGATGTGGAAGGGATATCAGAAGATTCACAAGTTTACCAATGTAATCGCATATTTCTGCACGAGGGAGTGGCAGTTTAGAAATGACAATGTCCAAGCTATGTGGCGGCGTTTGGATGCTAAAGATCAGCAAATCTTCAAGTTCTCCATGAGAAACTTTAACTGGCAGGCGTATTTTTGTAACTATATTCAAGGTATCAGAGTTTACCTCATGAAAGACGACCTGAGCACTTTGGAAAGCAGTAGGACGAAATGGAGAAGGTGAGAAAAAATGATCCAAACATATGACTTTACTTTTTAATTAATTATCTCTCTTTGGAATGCATCGATACTTAAATAACTATAATGAATTACTATTTTTACGCTTGAATCGTTTTTGTTTCAGACTTTACTGGATGCATCAAGTTCTGAAGGTACTCATATTTTTCATGGGTGCTTGGATGTTACGTAGATTATTCTCAGTATTTGTTTGACTGGAAATATAACCTGAACTGTGAGGATTGTCTATAGGTCGGATCTTTCGTTGGATCAACACGATGTTAATTTTTCCTGTTGTAAATAATAGCAATAATCTAGTGTCCGTTACGTGTTGTTAATAATGATCGTCGTTCCTGAACTTTCATGGTGGAAGGCCTTTTGTAAATGCTTCAAGATTGGCATCCGGTGTGCGATAAGAACGATGTGCAAGAAAATGTACATGTTACAAATTTAATTTTATATANGTTTAACTTCGTCAATAATTAAGACGACTATTTACCGATATTCGGCGAAATGACTTTCAAAAAGAACGTGCCATGTAACAATCAAAGACACACTTGTAACTTCTCATTAACTCTACTTTATATTTTTGTACTCTGTAGATTGAACAAATATGTCATTACCAGTTAATAATCAAATTATTCCTTTTGTTAATTAATGGCACATTAATTTTGTTGCATATCATCGTTAATTATAAATATTATTACTCTGTTAAGCAAATTGTTTGTTTAATTATCTAGATAACTTGAATACCTCTGGTTATACCAAAATATTATATAAGTCCGTGCTGATTCGTTTATATCTGGATGTAATGGCAAATATCAATGTCGGGTAAACTGCTGGATACAATTGTGCTTATCGTTAATTCGATTACATTCACAATTACTATCAAAACCAGTTACAACCGTACTGATCTCTGTCTGTAGTACTTTTGCAAGTTTAATATTTGTTTATGTAATAGGGAATACAACAAAATGGTGCATGCAGTGATTCGTTTGCGCGATATGAAATATATTCAGTATAGCGCGCAAAAAATATACACACCAGTCATTTGTATGTAAAACACATTTTTTTCTTATGTGTATGAGATGACTCAAATGTTATTCCTAGTAAAATTGTAGTATTGCGGAAAACATTTGTAATTACGTTTATAAACATGTCTGAATTTCACTTTACACACTTCAATGTAAATGTTTGTCCCCATTTACTTTGATATATAAACGCGATGGAATATTGCAACATTCATAAACTTTTATATTAATGACAGTATCAATACGCATGCATACTTTTGTGCCTTATTTTTTTGTATTGTTCCAAACATTAAGGCACGTAAATTGGATCTTGACATGTACGATCATATAGTTAAAGTACACCATAAATACGAAAATATAAAAACGTTCGTTTCTTTAAAAAATAATTGGACGGACTTATGTTATTTTACATGCTTACGTAATTACCTATACAAAAGTGTTTCTAAAAATTAACATAATATATTCACAATTCTCTTCTCAAGTACTTAATAGTAAGTCAAGTTTAATTTCTATAGTTAAAAAAACATTAAACTATATCATTATAGTTCTTCAGTTTTACTTATGGTTTTGCTTAAATTTCTAATATATATTAAATGGTAAATTGTTTAATAACATTTTTGGCCAAAACATGGCTGGACGGTAGTTCTGAAACAACCTGAATCCATGATTCTTTGATATCAATTAACAGGCATTGTAGAAACTGTGCTGTGAGGTGTTGTAGGGCGGGAGCCTGCGATAGAATGAGTAGTCGATGCATTCAAAGACTGCATTGTACCAATCTGAAAGGACCACTGTTAAAAAGCAATGCCTTCGCAAGAATATGGAGACTTTGTTTTTTAAACTTACCCTCAAATGTGCCAGATCTTCCAATCTTGTTAAGTCACTTAATTCAATGTACAAAGAGTAGACCAGTAGCCAACCATATACAGAAAAACAAATAAATGCAATCCAGAACAAACACATCAAAATGTTATATGCAAATATCAGATCGTTGACAATACTGAAGAATAAAAATGCAAGAAATCTAAACATGGTAAATATCGCAAATGAGTACAACCATGGTACCATCTTCTTCTCGTATTCTTTGCGCAATGCTCTAATCAGCATCAATGACGTGACAAATATTACCATTCCACCAAGCATTGAGAAGAGAGCAAAGACAATCAATGCATTGCGAACTGCAAAAGATATATGAAAACATAGTATTCAACACTCTTTATCAATTTAAATAATACTTTCTTAAGTAACCAGCTTACCATGCATGTTACCCACGTAAACGAACTCGTAAGATATGATATAATAACCATAATGTGTAGATCCAGGTGCTGCTTGTGATAAGCAATAAATGTCAAATATTGCGGTACATACTGTGAATATTGCCAAAAACTGAAAATGATTTTAACAAGGTATAACTTATTATATCCAAACAAGATTACGGTAACTTTTATACATTCAATAGACGTTTGAACACATACGAATGAAAATACTGCCGTTAACATTGCACCTCTTTGAATATCCAAAACAAAAGCATTTGTGACTATTGGCTTTTGGTACCATGGAATCTTTACACTCCTCACAGATCTCGACGATCTCAGGTTAGCACTGCTCCGTGTTGTTACATGAGAATAAACAGACGGAGTACCCATACTGGGTGATTTCTTTCCGTAGTTCATCTTTAGTTATCTGAAGGCAGAATGGAATTACTTTCAATAGAGCTTCACAGATACAACAAATTTATTCCCTGAGCTAGCGCATGTTACCACGACCCATTCCAAAATACCGCACCCTGAATTACTCACGAATTTAGAAAATTAGCGTCACCTGGCACGCCCAGTATCTAATATCGCATTTCATAAACGTGCTTAAGAAAATGGAGATTCCGATTGACAGGTGCATTCTTTATATACAGCGACAAAACTTTAACTCACCTCAATTGCTAATTTTTGGAAGTGAGAAAATATTCACACGAACACAGTTTTTATTTACAAAATTGACAGTCGAATGTAAGTTGACTCCTTTGACTACATAAGTATGGAATGAAAGCCAACCTCACTTAGGTTGCGAAGATCCGTCATGCCATGCGGTTTAAGACCCAGTTTCGTAACTGGAGTTAACCGAAGATTAACTGGTTTACGCCCGGTTCAACCTGCTGTAAACTAACTAAACTTTGGTTAACTTGCTTACGTCCGGTAATAACCTGCTGTAAACCTTAAACTACGGTTAACTCGAGTTGTGGAACCGGACCTAATTGTCGGTAAAGTGATAAAATATATTTTTTTTATCTCGAAATTTCCTTTATTGTGTAATGAACCTAGTCTAAAAAATAATAGAAAATTGCATTAGGTTTCATATGTCGTCTGTTATATACAAGAAGTGTACCAAAATATAAATAAATTACAATGTATATTAGAATAATATATAAGATACATTATTCGGTCCATCTGTGTGTGCAATGCTGATTCGTACAGACATAGTATAATCTCATTTCTTCTTCCGCTCTTCTTGTTTGGGCTTGGAAGAAGACAGCTTCCCGATGGTTACATTTTGGACACGGATGCTCTTCTGTTCTTGGCAATGTTGGATCCGATATAACATCGGCTACGATATGCGTCAACTCGCTGTTAAAAGACAAGTTTGGTTAAATAAAAAATTAGACATTGAATCATTTTGAACTAAAAATGTTAACAATATTTAGAAATTTCCAACGAACTCGCCATTTGCATATCCTATCCCTTCTAATAGTAACTCACATGTTACAGTAAAATAGTAGTAAAAACTTTTACATATTTAGTAAAATAACATTGTTTACTAGTTAAAGGTTAAGAAAATCTATCTTTACTTACTCTATTTCGTGCATTATTTTATTAACATAGATGCAGTTGCTATCGGCTAGTTGCTTAAAATCACAGTTCCTGCACTAAAAATCATACGATATCATTAACATTTGTTATTAAACGCTGACAAATGAAAATGAGCATACTAACCGCATACATGAGGACTTTATTTTCTTTATCTTCTTTGGGATATAACATGTTATTGCATTCTTGACAAAACCTGATCCCAACAAAGCCAGGACCATCGTCGTGAGTATCGTATCCAGGCATTTTAGACATTTTAAATTCCAAAATATAAACTTCAACACAAATACCACAGCCACACACTATCTTAAATCTGACCCGACAGATCCGTTTCCATCATTAATCAATTTAAATCAGCTCCACAGAAATGAACCAATCACGTAAATCCTTTAAAAGTGACAACGCTGCAGTTACAGCGCCATCTTGTGATTTTCCCAACGAACGATATAGAAATTTTTGTTATCTTCTCTTTGTCTCTGATAAAGGCACTTTAACGAGAATTGATGCAATTATTCTTTTATGTTTCGAAAGTAGTTAAATTGAAATAAACTGTTCCCTGTAAATAAACGATGTGGGCGTTTCTAATGGTGTATTATTTTGGATCGAGTAGTATGGGACCGGAATGAAGGATGTCGTGTAAACAAGGATACTGTCAATGGGAACGCAGTGGACTCACCTGTGCGAGGTTCTCTGTTTACAAGTTTTGTGGTCGTAACACTAACTTTCTGTTGCCTCGAGCGAGGCTTGACTTTAAACCGAATGTGGGAAAGATGTAGGTGACAGTTCTACGAGATAACAAAATGATTTTTATAAGACCGCTACGTTATCACTGTCACGCAGATTGTGCGGTAATACAGATATGAGGGTATGATTGAATGTCAAATCTAATTTGATAGTTAATGCAAAATCTGACGTCTTTTCGCGTGTAGAATATGCTGTTAATTATACGCTCAAATTGATGTTATTTTATCATTAATCATTGATATCGGAAGCCATTGTGTGACGAACACAGATGATTCGTTATAATTTATTCTTTGTTCGATGTCACTGCAGAATTCTAGGCCTTTGGATATTTCTTTATTTTGCATCTTATTATAATATTGGTTAAACCTGAAGCAAGTAAAGCGGGTAATGAGCTTAACTTTTGACATTTAGATGGAATTCTTACAAGCTGTTTGAGTTTACGCCCCTGTGATACAGTAAGTAGGTTATGTTTGTTAACTTGAGATATTCAGTCTGCATATATCGCTTGAGGTGTTCTAATTTTTAAATAATTATATATCGGTGATTGGGTTTTTTTTTAAATTCCTCATTATTATGAAATGTATGGTTATCAATAGACTAAAATATATTTTATTTACTATAACTTTTCCTTTAATTTTACAATTTCAGAGATCGATATGTGGGTGGAATAATAGATTTACATGTTATGTATTAAATTGTAATTGAAGTCAAAGACAAAAAGGAACCATGGAGGAATTAGATCCGTTCAACGCTACGGCGCCATCCTTCTCTAAAATTGAACCAGCGTATTGGAATTATTCTGACCATGTCATCCTGGATGATCTCAAAATGGATAGTAATTTCATTTGGTTACTGTGTTCATTGGTCTCTGCTATTTCATGGATCGTGTACATAGTTTATTATAATAGCAGAGTTATAGGATACATCATAACGCGATTGTTGAATAGATTTGTTATCAGAGATGGATTTGTTAAAGTTGGTAAGAAGTTCATAAATATTGTTAAACAATTTTTTCACATAATTAAAAAATTAATTACGAACAAAATTATATATTAGAATATAACAGAGAATATTTTACAGGTTCGTTCACATTATGTGCATTAAGTGGGAAGATCATGTTTAGAGATATAGTTTATATAACGACTGACTACAGTTTAAGAATTCAGGATGGATGGCTTATCTTTAGATGGTGGAGAAGTTACGTACCAAAAGATGTCTCCGAGGGTACGTTTAATAAATATCATCGACGCTATGTATTATTTTTTAATTTTGTCTAATTTATTCATGTTCCTTTCGCTTCTTGAATTTATAAATTGACTGTTTTAATTGATATGGCAACTCTTCTTTTCAGATCTGTCCCATTCGGATACTCGGCTTTCGGTAATGTTGAATGGATTTGAACTACATGTATATAATCGCTGTCAGCTTTATGCACAACTTGAAAGAACCTTCGGTCTGATCTCGCAAATGTTCCCTGACGAGGAGAATCATCATGTAAACATCGACAATCCTGATGCGGATACATTTAGCAATACCGTTAACGAGACTCGACAACAAATTAATGCAGCAATTGACGTCTCGCGAAGAGTAAAAAATATTAGGAGACAAGAGGCTCACTTTATTGCTAGAACATGGAGAGACTTAATCCCCGTTATAAAGTTAGACGTTTGCACAGTAAGTAACTCAAAAGTGTCATTCTACACCTCGTTAACAACATTAGCATCTCTGCCATCGTCTCTTCTGACACCGGTGCTGCAGCTAATAAACATAAGCATTCTAATTTTAACACCCTTGTTACATATTGTCACTACGGAAAATCTTATTTAGTTAATAATAATATGTAAAATATTTCTTTGAAGTCTGACGATAAAATTACGCAGGAACGCGAAAATTATTCTCAACATCGATAAATCAATTATCTCTATATTATTATTCCAGGGTCGCATCGTATTTGGTAATCGTTTAGTACCAACTACACTGTCAATAACCGTAGAAGAGGCACATTTTGTATACTCGACTAAGCCGGCGGCATCTCGGCACGATCATTTCATGCATTTCACGAAGTGCAAAGCGGAGAACTTTAAAGTGATATTAGCTCCGAGTCCAAAGTACACCGGAATGGTGGATGACCCCCCGCGATACATGGGAGAAGGTTTTGTGGTGTTGAGTTCGAACAACATGGAGGTGTATTATTACATGGACGAGCCAGGAGTCGTCCCGGAACACCCCGAGATGATAAGACTGGCCAACGGCGACATGGTGGAGGCGATGCCGCCCATCTGGGGGATAGACATAAAGTGCGGAAAAGGAACGGACTTCAGCTACGGACCTTGGGCCGACAGACAACGAGAACACCTCTTCAAGTTCTTCTTCCCGAACGACTACCAACCCCTCAAGATCACGAAGACGCCCATCCCTGGGGAGAAAAGGCAAGTTCAGTCCTTTGACATCCGGTTGTCGACGCTCAACGAGGCGACGATCGACATCCTCTTTAGCAAGAACAAAGAGACGAACGCAATCCACGTGAACGTCGGTCCGGGCTCGTATTTGGAAGTCACGGTGCCCTGGATTGTCCTCCAGGACGGCTACACGACCAAGATCACGGGGCAGTTGTTGCACCTGGAGGCGACGACCAGTCTTCAGTATCGCAGCCTCGTCGAGAGCGAGACCTTGGAGTTCGGAGTCAAGTGTCACTACCCCATCCGGTGGAACGACCACCAGGAGTGGACGTTGAACCTGACTGGGTGCAAAGCCACTGCCAATCTGGTATATTCGCACAAAGACTTCTTCCAAGATATGGTAAATGACTGGGCGAGCAAGACGAGGCCGGATCTGCTCCACTTTGTTCCCTACACCTGGAAATTCAACCTGCTGCTCAAGGAGTTCGAGCTGATCACCATCTGCAACGAGTACAACTGGGTGGACTGCTCGTCACAGAACCAGGAGAACGCGCACATCGCCTTTTGCGGGGAGTTATTCGACCTGTCCTTCGACCTGCCGTTTGTGGAATACCTGCCGATGACGGTGCCCCTCAGGTTCTGGATCCAGGGGGAGAGCGTGGACCTCTCTTTCTACCTGCCGGAGGTGAACACGAACCGCAGTATCCTGCTGGCCCTGCACAAGAACGCCAAGATCATGACCAGGGACGGGTCCTGCAAGCCCCTGGCGGAGCTAGACAAGAGCAAGAAGTGGAGGAACGTCTGCCAGAAGGCCTCGGGGTGGGTGGACTGCTGGTCGGTGCCCATCGTGGCGCTGAGCATCAATTACACTTACCACCCGAGCCCCCCGTTAGGACCCATGCCGCAGGCCAACATAACCACCCCGGAGAAGGAGGAGATCCTGCTGTCCCCCATGAGGATCCCAAGGGCTAGGAAACCCCCGGGACTCCAGTGGACCCAGGACGGCACTCAGAAGTTCGACCCCCAGACCATCGCGTCCGACAAGGTCAGCCTGGAACTCGAGATCGGACCGTCCGTGCTCATCTTGAACGGCTCCCTCATCAAGCACTTCGTCCACCTCAAGGAGAACATCTTCGGGGACTATCAGACCTTCACCGACATGCATCAGAGCAGACCCACGACGGCCACCGTCGCCACGGAGAGGACCAAGGACCGGGACGCGCAGAACAGCAGCGTGGAAGCCTCGGTAGAGGACGAAGAGGTTAAGACGAAACCTTTCGACCCTAGGGATTATAGACCCATCGAGGTGACAGTCGGCATCACCATGCATGACATCCAGGCCCACTTGGTGAAGAACTGCAGCGAGAACGACCCTGGGTGTCCCGTTATTCTTTTGGAACGGTTCGGCTTCGAGATGAAGAAGGGCTACAAGGAGACCGAGCTTCAGCTCCTGCTTTCTCCTGCCATCATGTTACTCGCGGATAATGCCACCAGGCCGAGCAAAGAGAGGCATTTGAATCAGGGACATTTTATGCTGAGCGCCCTGCAGATCAGAGGTCACGCCATGTTCAGCAGCGAAGGAAGGAACCTCGACCAGGAGACCCTGGAGTATGCCTGGCTGATCGAGATCCAGTTGGGGAAACTCAGTGGCAAGATCACCTGTCCGCAGCTGCATTATCTGGTTACCTCCCTGGAGACCTTTCTACTCATGGCGAAGAATACGGAAAACAGCATGAGGCCACCTGGATTACCTCGCCATTGTCATCACGGCTTGCCGCCCTTGCAGTGCACGGATAGTGACCCCGATAATCGTTATAGGTATTTTTATTCAAAGTATTGTCGATCTCATTTAACCATGCAATTATCTTCGAAGGAGAATTCATTGCATAAGAAACTTGCACGAGGAGTGGAGGAACCCCTGTAACGCGTTTCGTTAACGTCGTCCCGATATTTTATGCAACTTATGAAATTTTGAAGCAACCCGATAACACCTTTCAAAATGTTTTAGATGTCCAAGTTCGGAAGACATCAAATACAGAATGACCAGAGTTACGGTCGACGCTATCGACCTGTACATTCAGGACGTCGGGACGGCTCTCCAGCTCTGGATATCCCCGATCCGCGTTTCAACGTGCAACCTGCATGGAAAACAAGTAAAATCCGGGGTTACCGGGGTTCTGCCAACCGTATTAACTCGGCAATTTGTTTCTGCAGCTGGCCATTTTGCGAATACTAGTAACACTAATACTGCCGGCAGCGGTAGATCTCATAACAATGCCAGCAGTCGATTGTCAGGTTCGTTCGTTGATCAATATTTGCAACGTGAATCTCTACGATTTATCGTTTCCTGTATAGCCATCTTTACGTTTGCGTCTGGATGTTGCACGTTAATTATTCCGCTAATCATTGCCCGTTTTCAGGGGACGGATCGGATATCTGGCTGGAAGTGGGATCCGTATCGTTAGGTCCAGTCATAATAGAAGCTGCCATTTCGCTTCCTACGCCTGAGCATAATTTACATTTAGTACAGCACAAATACCTGAAAACACACGACGAAGCAACGAAACGCTTATGGTTCTTGTGGCCCATGGAGAGTGGAGTCAAGTCTGCGAAATGTGGATGCATCGGTGGGTGTGCATTTTTTGGCAGCAACAGGAACGGGCCAAAATTCTTCAAGCCCAGCTATCACGATCTGCGGGATGGAATCAACATCGCTGCTTATAGGTATTGTTAATTTCCACGTCCTTCTTACTTCAAATTTCCCCACGGAGATTGGAGTATACCCTAACCAGCCTCCGGTTTCATTTTTCTCAGGATATTTGATTCTACGAAGGACAAAGGCTTCGGTCAATCTATCCTACACGATGGTCAATTAGTGTTCCACACTCCTCCGTACAGATTGCAGGATGTCACGTTACAGGACATCCCTCATTCCGCGCTGGGCGTAAAAGTAACCATAGTCCAAGGTGGATCGCAGAGCTCCAAAATTGGCGTGGAACGATCGCGATCTACGCTAGATCATAAGGAATCGAATACAGAGGTGAACGAGAACGTGAAGCTAAGTCAAGCTTTGTCGAGCCCTTCGACAGGGAGCAACGAAAGGAAATCGTTAGGGCGAAGATTTTCCTATACCTCGATGCGGTAATTCAATTGTCGAGTATTAAATTATTTATTTCAAATAAACCTTTATAATTTAATTTATCCTTCGGAAGGAACTGTAATAATCTATTGACAATACTTTATATTACAGCGGTGCTAATTTGAAAGATGTACCTTATTCTCGCCTAGTCGACGCTAGTCCAATCATTCAACTGCCCCAGAAATTAGATTCGGACTCGAAATTAAATACTGAGCGCAGCAAGTCAATTCTGAACGTCCCGGAAATTGAAACTGCCCCGAAGAGCAGTGCCTCCGATTCCAAGTTGGCAGTTGACTATTTTAATGCTCCCGTAACAGATAGGTTTCAGCAGAGCAGCAGTCCGCAGTCTTTGCCTACGGTCCCAACTGAAACTGGAGGTGGATTGGAAATTCGACAGAACGTTAAAAGTACAGAGGGTGTCAACGTTTCGGATTCACGTCACTCGTTAGGCATCTCTTCGGACTCCGAAGAGCGACTGAAACAGGAAGTAAGAGATTAACCGTTGAACATTTGATATACATTTTACAAGATAATACAGGATGTGTATATATGTTTTAAAATGACAGGATATGAATGTATTATTTAAAGTAATACAGGAAAGATAAGCACGTCACTTTTTCCAGGTACAACGGACAATTTCCATGTCATCGGAAAATCACTCCGAAGCTTTCTACTCAGCCGATGAAGACACGAGTCATGGATTAGGAGGGAGCAGAACGTCTAGCCTACGCCAATCTACAATTGGGACAGGCTCAGTATTAACTCAGCATAGCAGTATTAAGAAGAAGTACTCATCCGACATATCCATCGTGGAAAGCTCAGCGAACGTAAATGCTTGTAATGCCGAGAAAGCTAATACCTTGGAGAGGACTAAACCGCACATCCTGAGCTCGAAAAGGAGTCCCAGGATTAACAAAGATAGTCAATTCCGTCAGGAAACCGACTCGTGTGACAATGGAGCTTTACAAGACTCATCGGACAGCAATTCCATCTCGTCTACAAGTTTCATATCCGCAGTCTCCTCACAGGAAGACATGACTCTTGTGAATTTACACATGCAAGTCAATAAGCCTATCGTTGACTCCCCATTGTTGATGTCGAGTTACGTTAGCCATCTTACACAGGTAAATTTATTCTTTGGTAATGTTTCTTCGTAATTCTTTAACTAATTAGGTATTTTGATAAATCCAGGTACGCTGCTCCAACTGGATTCAGTCTTCGCTGCCTTATGATGGAAATACATTCACAACTCCAGTATTTCAACGCACCGAAGATGGTAGATTGGTTTACATCGGAGGTCGTTATGTTCCAAAATTTGATACGGTCACCGAAGGTTTCACGTCGTTGAAAATGATAACTCGAAGCGATGGATCTCCTGCAGCGAGTTCGTCTAATAAAACACCTACTCATCCTTATCTGTGGGACAACTCGGCGTTGATTCAATCGGAAGGTGAGAAGATTTATTTTTTAAGGACTATATACATCCCATGTTCGGTACTTGGAGTATTTTCAGTACTTGATTTTATTTTCATTTTCCGTTTAGGGGAAGACGACAGCACGACACACGACGAGGAAGAATTATTGGCCGCACAACACGAAACTGGCTCGCGGACAACAGTGATTGTTAAAATGAAGGGCGACGTCGATATAATGCTCAGCCCTCTCGTTCTTGAGTCGCTCCAACGTTTTGTCGATGCAATCACTCCGACATTGGCTACGCTACATCCATTAACAATTTTAAATCATCTTCACTATGACTGTATAGGAAAAGTGGAGGATGCAAATATCTTGAAGCAGGATCAAAGCTTGTCGTACTGGAGTCAAGTCCAGACCAGCTCGAAGAGATCGACAGCGGAGAGAAATATTAAAAGCAGTCAAGGTAGTGACAAAAGGAGGATTCGTTGTTATTTAAGCCTGTTGTGGTATTTCAGTGTAATATTTTTTATTATTAATTTTGCTGACAGGTAAGGTCGCTCTGCAGACTAGTGTTTACGAGGAATGTATTTCAACGCAGGTACAAGGAAGTATTATTTTACCAAAGGTAAGTCGACGTTCCTTGAAAAATACGTGGAATTATCAAAGCTAAAGAAATTGAGCACAATGATTCAATCATTTATTGCTGTTGACAGATGAACATAACTTTATTGCAAGCTTCCGTCGTTGAAGAAATCATCTCATTTTCTGCCCTCGAAAACATTCGAGATCTGAGTTGTGTTTCTTTATTTGCAATATGTTTCGACGACGTGACTGCAAGATTTTATCTTGGGAGGCAAGCAAGGGAAATCGTTCAAACTTTCCACAAGCCTGCTGTATTGCCGAATCAGAAGAAGGTTAATAAAATTAGTAAAGTGTTTCTGCCTGGGCATCAATCGGCCACTGTGGTCACCGACATTGGCGGTGGTGAACCAGTATTCATTGAAACTTCGGAAAAACAACAAGAGGAAACAATTATTACTCTCAACGTTGGTAAGAAAATTAAACGAGTATTTCTCAAATTCTTAATCTAGTTAACTTTGACTTTGATTTTTATAATTCATAAGCGCCTAATTATCAGTTTAACGAAAACGAAGATTTAACATCTGTATTATTTTATCAGGAAAAATTCATTCTCAGTTACGTAGACTGAGAAACGAGTCATCGATTCTTAAGGATGCAGTGATCACAGCGATTCCATCTCACTACTCGAGAGTATTATTCACATGTACAAGAATAACATCTCCGTTAAAATGTGTCGACTATTACTTACATCAACCTACCGAAGAAAAGGACAAGCAAAACGTATGTTTTTCCACGATATTGTTTCTTTTGAAATTATTCTCGTTACAGTGTAAACTTTATTCGATTAGAAACAAACTGGCCCGCCACAAGCAACCGAAGAATTCACCGTGGGAAGTGGAGAGGACAGATTGGGCTTTATCATGTTCGAGTGTGGTTTGGAAGGAATCAAGTTGAAAATTGTTAAACGATCACAGTTTGAAAAAAATGACAACGAAAATGAAGATAAGAAGGTCGAGCCCGAAGTTATTCACACGAACAGTGTAAAAAGTCAGGATGAATTAGACAATACAGCTGGTAAGAAGATTTGAATATTGTCTAATTATTTGATACATCTATTGTTTTTTAAAAAGCCTCTAGGGAACTCTGTCGCAAATTGCGTATTTTTGTGCACATTTTCATTTTGGAGAAAACACGTAATAATTTTTAGAAAAACTGTATTTGATGTGAATGACTCTAGGTTCCACAACGGTGACTGTTGATGCCGAAGCAGGTGCCAATGCTTCCTCTAATGCAGCTCCAATAAACACCAGTGCAACCTGTACCAGTCTTGTGGCAAAAGTGGCAAATGGTAACACGGTATCTTGCGTAATAGAATTAAAAACTGTATGGTTCAATTTTGCTGCTCCTCCGAGGACTCCGATTACCAGGAAAATCGATTACACAAGGCTGGATTGGAACCTTTTGAGCACTGCGTCACCGGCAATAAATGCATGGCTGAACCCCAGTAACAGGTTTGCCATAAAAATCGTTCACATGTTCAGATGTATGTACCGAAGATCAACGGCTATCGTCGCTTGTCTGATGGCAGAAGCGTTAGACGTTCAAGGAATTCACATGCCAGTGAAGGTGAGTGCATCGAATCATAACTTATGAACGTTATTTAAATTTTTGTTCATTTTTCAGAGTCGTTATGGAAGGTTGACGCCACTTGCTAAAACACTGCAAGAAGATCCTTCGTGCCAGTTGTGCAGCATTCTTCAACACTACGTATTGCTTTCTGATTTGGCAACTATCGAAGGCAATCTCAGAGAATCTGACTTACCGCTATTGTCCATTCTTCGACAGGTATATTCATTTGTACATAATATTCACTTCTGGTGTTATAACTGAGATTTACTTTTTTTTTTAATTTGTTCAAGCCCCTAAAAATTAATGAATAACTTACGATTTAATAATTAATGTATAAATTAATCTAAAAAGTGGTCACACATCGTTACAGGGAGTTATTGTGCTGAGTAGGCAGTGGAAGAATGTTCTGTACACACCATTACTATTGGAACATAATTATAAAACGAAACACGTTAAACCATTAAATGTCACGTTTGCCGTATCCGATCCTGAAGAGGTAATGTATATATTTATTAATTATCCCATGCTCATATTTATTATTCTTTGTCTACAACGGACGTCAATGGGTAAGAAATTATTTACTAACATATTTTCCCAAAATTTAGGAAAACCTGCTGACCGATGGTGAAGGTAGCGCAGCTGATGTCGATGATCAGGAAGTGACCGATGAATGTGCAATGTTGATCCATGCTGATCATATACACAAACAAACACAAGTTAAGAATGGACCGGATAAATCTACAGGTATTTCTAAAGAAAGGATTTTAAAACGAAACCGATACAATTGTGCGTATCTCTTGAGGAATTAACAAAACCCATCGTAATTCACTCAAAGGAATTTTTCTCTTCTGCTTTTTCGCCTAAATTCCCAAATATTGGATTTAAGACCTTCAGGGTTTAGAATCTTCACGAACATAGAAAGACTTATTAGGGCTTTGGTTTTCATTGAATCTTCTCATTCAAGTGGAATCACTTTAGAGAGTGAAAACGATTCGGGATTGGTTGTCTGTAGGAAGTTTCTGACCTCTTCTTGTGACCAGCATTGTTCGAATCTTTGTATACCTGGATAATTAACCCGTTCCTTCTAGAATTTTTCCTTCCAAAACTTCTACTTATTAAATAGTAGTCTTCTAATACACCACACAAACTGTTACAAAAATCTTTAAAACCCTACACCCAAAATCCTTGCTACGTTGACATGTCCTATCTGTTACCGTAACAACTATCCGATAGTAATTTTATTCACACACAATCCAAGTCTATTAATCCGCACGTCACTATTGTAGCTACTCTAATGTGATCTGTACTTTCTGTAACCATTACTTGGCTCGGCATGAAACAACCAGGTACATGTGGCGATGGCTTGACGGTTCCGGTGTGCTCTCCTCGGTGCAGAGATACCACTCCTTTACCGACACCAACACCGGTTCTAGGCCCGGACTCACTAACCTCTCCCTCTCCACCGTTAGCCCTCCCAAGAAGAGGCAGATCGTTGCAGCCCACACAAGTACCCGTTAGTACCCGGGCGAGTATCGTATTCCCACTGCTCGCTGGTGGTGGGCTTTTTAATCAGCCACGGGATTCCAACAACATAAGTAAGTGGACTACGAACAAATCCTTGTTCCACCTTGTCTGTTGATGTTTTCATTTATCTTACTACATGTCGACTACTCCTCACACCACCGTAGTGTTTTGCATCGTGCTCGTGCCCGCAAGATGTGGAATATATATTTAACGTAGTAATAATCACCACTCGATGAATTAAACGTGCTTTGTGTGAATGAAGAAAATGGTTTGAAGTGTATGCTTAGTTGTTTAGGGATTTATAGGTACATAGACCTGCCAAATACTTGTCGGTGCCTGATTCATCCCGGAAGAAGATTCAAGGACGATTAAAAAAGTAGACTTGTTTATGTAATCGCTTCTAGTGCCTCGTTGTATCTCTTGTGGTATTATCATTCATGTTCATCGGTGTCATCGATGTATCTTTGTCCTCTGATGAAAGCTATATTGGAGTTATGATCACTTCATCTTGTGGTTGTCTTTCGGTTTTACACCTTTTTTCCCATATTTCTTAAATACCCGATTTAGAATGTCCCATTCTACTGTTTTTGCACACGAAGGTTGATGTGGCTTGCAAATTTCGTGCAATTTGCAATCGTTTTATTAGCTGGACACCGGCATGATATCTGTTTACTTCGTAGGAGAGTGTTAGTTTCTTCAAGTTATTTTGAAAATATTGCGAGGGGAACTGCTAGATTGATACTGTTGGTGTCATTAACGTTGCACCGTGTAATCGTATTTGGTATTCTCATTTTTCTTCTCTCGCTGTATGTAGTGGATTATTTAACGTAACAGTGAGTTAATGCGGATTATAATTCTTCAGGTTATGGCACTCTACGGGAAGAGAAAACCCCTCAAATCTATGTGTCTCAATCGCATCAATTGGGCTCCAATCCCAGTATTTATTCTGGAGGTGCCGGACATGGTAGTCAACATAGTCTTGGAAGCGGAGATCAAATCACCTCTCCGACTAGTCATCACTCCAACAGGTTGGTCACTGCCGGAGAGGATTTGTACAGCTGGATGGCCAAACAGCAAGAATTTATTAAGGACAACGAAAAGGGAAATCTGAAAGGAAACTGGGTAAGTGTATAAATAAAATAGCGGTGGTGAACACAAAATAACAAATTTAGATATAACCCACAGGACGATCTCTTTGTAAAATGGCAAACGTACAGTAGCAATTACCATCGAACAGTGCTGCGATTAAAGATACAGATTAAATTGCGTGTAATTGTTTTCTCATATCAAGTTATTAACCGTGATCTCTTCTTCAGGTCTTTCGGACAGAACAGAAAACTACCAAGGTAGTGAAAAAAGAAACTATTAAGAATTAGAGCTGATTAAATTTTATGTTATCTCATTTTCTAGATTGTAAATGCCATTTTTAACATCGTGTCACTTAACTGTAACAACTTATGTGTATTATTTTAAATATTTCCAGGATTCAAAAATCAATACCATGACCACCGAAGACACCGAAGACTCTGACATTCACAGCGGTGCTTTTTTCTACCCGATGAAGGACTCTCTTCGATTGTTAGATGCACATTTGATTTTTGAACCACTTCTCTCCTCATTGTCCGTAATGCCACAGGAGATGCTCTCGGCAATTGGTTCTGGGAATATCAATAACATGTCAACCTTAGACTCACTTAGCTCGAACTTATCGCTTGTAGGCAGTATGGAGACCATGCGTATTGACATTGTCGTCAGCGAATTTGGAAAGATACTAGATAGGAGAAAAGGTACATCGATAACTTCACTTGCCATGAATTAGATATGCTGGGAAAATTATAATTTGTTATTATACACAGGCAACAAAAATCAGACGAAGAAGGGCACCAAGTTTCATCTTGACATTCCTCCCGAAACGCCTGCATTTTTGTGCGAAAAAATTGGAATCGAAATCGACGTTAAGAAAATGGCTGACATGACTGTTGACGATATGATTCAGAAACAAAATGTATTGTATATATCCCGAGGCCAGCTCAAGAGACACACGAGCACAGTTGTCAATTTCAGCATCAACATCCGATACATCAGCCAACAAGTGAACATGCCTTTGTTGAGGCTGTTGCATCAAATCAGTAATATGTACCAGAACGTCAAGGAAACTCAGATGGAATTGAAGGAACAACAGCCCGAAGCCAAAAGGAGTGCAAATTTGACCACTGTTGAAACAACTGCCAAAAATGGTTCATCGTCAAGTGTGTACATAAGTTCGATTATTCCTTACGTCGGTATTTCTGTGTTTTATGTCAACTTCCTTTTGTTATTCCTATCGTAGCATCGGACCTTCAAGAGCAGCTGCTCATCGGTGGAAAGAAGACGGAAGAGTCAGTGCTCCGCAGCGGCTTCGACTTCAGCCAACCCAAGGTTATATCTCCCTCCGCAAGCATTAGGTCTCGTCCTCAGAGCTTCGCACAAAAGCTGCGCAGCACTGGAAAGAGTGTCAAGGGGTATATTAATCTAAGCGAAGGAGTTACAACACCAAGCTTCGGTGTCAGTCCCAGCGGGTCTGGCCTGGACAAGTTCAGTATTCTGTCAGAGAAGAGAAAGGACAGCTTGAATTTAACACCTCGGTGCTGGAAAACTATCTACTACCTTTTAGACCTCTATGCCACGAGACCAGAAACGAAAACCATCACACACAGGTTTTCTGTACCCGCAGAAGCTACGGAGCACTATAAGGGTACGAAGAAATACGAAATGCTAAATGAATCCAAAGATGGAGACATCGAGAAAGGATTGCATGCTGAAACTAGTTCCACTCCTGTGCCACCGCCAAGAGAACTTAGTACGTATTTTTTTTTTTATGCTTAAATATAAACAATATATGTACTAACAAGCTCATCAATGATTATGCGAAGACTAGGATTTTTCACATCAAAGGGCTTCAATATGTTTTCAAATCAATGCATCCTTATTTCAGATGTTGTTACTGGGGAGAGGACTAGATTGATCATCTTCGGAGTAGCAAAGATTCATCGAACCAGACTTTTGGCCACTTTGAGTGGATTAAAGCTCGAGGCGGAGATCACGAGTCTGCATGCGAGCTTAACGTGTCGCAAGAAATCCAGACCTGCGAGTCTCGAGTGCAGTTTAACTGGACAAATTGGCAGGACGATGATAGTCCTTCTAGAAGGAGTCGCTCCCAGTCAACAGACCGTCGTAAAAGTCACGGTTGGAAAATCGCAAGCTCTGTATTCCAGCATCACGAGGCGACAAAAGGATAAAAACAGTGGTTTATTAACTGTTGGGGCAGTAAACATCGATATACCCCAACATCCTGTGGCTTTGCATGGCATGATGACGAGGGGCAGTAAACAATTGTCGTCTACTTTGCAGGTAAACATGACTATAAACTATCATATTATTTAACAAATTTTATTCACATTTTGCCAAACGTCCACTAACCTCATCCGTGTCATTTTTTTATATATATTTTAGGAGCTGCGAGTCACGAGAACGTCGTCTAGATTATCTCGAGGTCCTCAACCCGAAGACGTCGATGGAGCACCTGGAAGTCCTCATCACTATACCCCGGCTCCTCCCATAGATGTGGAAAAGCCACAACCAGTGTCCGTTCTTTTGGAGCCCATCGTCATGCAATTCCACGTGATCCTGCAGAGCTTGAGCATAACTGCTGCTTTATTGCCTTCATTACAAGCACAGTACAAGATGGATCAGGTGAACAGCTCCGGCATCACTGGCAGCAAAGCCAAGTTTACGATAGACTTGCCTCATCATAGCTTAAGTTTCACAACGAAGCTACAAATGACCGAAGCAAACCTGCCATCGGAAGCGAGTATAGAACTGCCCAAGGTTCATGTATCCGCGGAATATATTCAAGATGGAAATAGCAGCTTGAACGACAGCAAAATAGCAGGTAAAATTTGGTTACACCTGCTTTTGCTCGGAAACTTTTTTTTTTTTTTCCTATTCGAACGTCATGTCATTTTCAGATGGCGTGGTGTTGAGGCAGGGCAGTTATCTCAGCGGAACAGCTGACATCGGGGTATTCGAGCACTCCTTGACGACAGATCTCTTAAATCATTTAGTATTCGTTCAAAAGGTGTTCATGAAAGAAGTGAACGAGGTTGTGCAGAAGGTTTACGGAGGGGAGAAACCAGTGCCTCTTTGGCTCGAAGACGAAGAACCATCTAGCTCCAGCTTAAAAAGGATTTTATTTTCACTCACTATCCGTATCAAGGTAAAGTACTACATCGATTCTTATCCACAATTACAAAAATTGTTCTGCATGCCCTGACAGATTCATTGCACATATTCTCTCGATATGAAGTTGTTCCGTACAGACTTTGAAATATTATTTAAAAAATTTCATTCACTAACGATAGTAAATAAAAAATATTTCTTTCGCAGAGAATTCAACTAACAGCGACGACGCCAACCAACTCGGCTGTTCGCTTGGAAACCGGAGCTGTGGAATTTCAATTGTCGAATCGTGTTCAAAACGTGTCCGGTGCTACGCAGCCTAATCCTTATATGAAGCTTTTTGGGAAGGCACAGGTGGACATCAACCTGTGCCTCGGTCAGTTGCTTAAAAACGTGATGTTCGAAGAAGCGGAGCCTGAATTTCAGCAATTCGCGTTCTTCAACACAAGGATTGGCCTGCGAAATGCCTTTCAAGAAGAGATGGCCCAGGGAGAAGACAAGGAAGTCGTGTTGATCACGTTGAAGCGACCTCTTATCTACATCCAACCGATGGCTGTCGACAAGGCTATACTAGTGTGGTTGAATTATAAAAATGCCTACGAGTATTGGAACGAAAAGAGAGCAAACCTGAATAAGGAGGTGCTCACTGCTACCCAACAAGTGTTCGAGAAGGTCCCCTTCGGTCAGCTGACGAGCCAACTGAGTGCACCTCATTTGGGAACTTTATTTCTCCAATTAACAGTTGACGATATGGGCATCTGTATACCATTAAATCCATTGCCTCCGCAGAATTGGGGTCTGAATAGAGGAATGTATGACACGGAGTCACGAGGGGCTGTGGTTGTCACTTTGGAGAGCACAAGTATCTCTGCGTGTAGTAGTGGCAGTCTTGTAAGCAAAGGGCGGTGAGTGAAGTAATTTTAGATTATGTGTCACTATGGTTCATGTATACACTGTTCGAATGATATATTTCTAAGTGGTTTTTTCGTTAATTTTTTATTTGCAATGTAAAACTAATAACGATGAATTATTTTACAGCTTTGTCGGACTGTGTTTGAGGTTTGCGGAAGACTTTGAGACATCCTTAGATGATTGGAAACCAGACATGACCGATAATAGCATAATGAACTTGTGTGTCGTTTCCGATGGAACTTATGAAGTTTGCAGCAGGACCATTGCACAGAAACAGGATAAATCTGGTGAGCTAGTTTTTTGGGGGAGTTTAAATGCTGGTCATTGTTTTGGACCCGTCAAACATGTGAATCGTTAACTCTTAGTACAATGATTACTGCGATTAGATGTGGAGTGTGTTTTCAATGTTTAGATAATGCCAAATGGATATTAAATGTGCAATGGCAAATGGAGGGAGTGGATATTCATCTTGACGTCAGCGTGGGTCAACAATTATCAGCACTTGGTCACACCTTGACGATGCTTACTGGCTCCGAAGAAGATGACACTCACATACCTCTGGAATATGATAGCGATGATGCTGATCAGCCTGACAATAGCACTAGCCAGGTTAAAAAAAAAGTATGGTATTTGTTTTATTTTGTTATGCTTTACTCTTCACATTGTCTTGATATTCACCGAATGGTAATGTATTCTTTCGTTCTTCTGCGTAGAGAAAAAAGTCCTATCAAAGACCATCTTAGAATTTTTAAATATTGTAGATAATGATTGTAAACATGCTCGAAGAATATTCCTTTTTATTTAAATAGTTTTTACCAATGTTTCTTTCTGTTTATATTGAGACCTTGTATTACCTTGTATCTCTATGCATTCTTAGTGCTATTAATTCCAATTAACTTTTTGACCGATGCCAGCTATGGACTATTAAAACTTATTCTCAAAACTCTATTTATAGGAGAGCATTTTGATGAAGAAATCAAAGAACTGGATGGACAGCCTACCGGCTTTTATCTTCGACCCGTCATTAGATGCAAAGAAGCGATCTAAATTAATTGAAAAGGAAATGAATGAGCAGGCTAAAATTATTAACGATTTGAGGTCACTCGGTGCATCTCATGGGACGATTGAACAAGAAATGAAACGGCTGCATGAATTGGAAGCGATGGTGTTCAAAGACTTCCGAAGGTTTGGTTCTTCATTATTCTAAAAACGAAACTAGAAATTGGTACAAATAAGCGCAATCTGTGTAACAAATTATTTCATCCGTAAATTATTATTCTCGCAGAGACATGATACAGAAGTTAAGAAGGCAATCGGTGAAAGCATCAGGAATAAAAGGCAAACTAGGCCTTGGGAGCAAAACGAATGCTTATCGATCGAGATCGTTTATAGTGCCTTCACCTACACCAGAACATCATTTAGAAAGTCCTGAAGATGGAAATGCGGAAATTAATTCAGCTAATTCAGCGAGTTACGAAAGTAGTCCTAGAAGTGGACCAAGTCGGTAAGATGATCCTAATGATAATTTAAAAAAGACATTCGATTCTACACTGCATCGTTATGATATAAATTATAGAGTTAGAGATTGTAAAAATGTGAGAAACTTTTTCTTTCACGATTAAATTACTAAATTAATATTTTTCAGGTCTGCTTCTCTTCGAGTTCGAGGCTTGGGCGGACCAAGGGTTACATTTAGTGACACCCACACTATGTGCAGGTACTTTTCAGATAAATGCATTTTTGCGTGTTTCTATGATTTTACAATAACATTTAATTATCTACAGGCAATCCTCGCTACCCAGTGCTAGTTCAGAATTGAGTTTACCGGAAGGCGAACTGGAATGGCCGGAAACGGTAGAAATAGAAGGGGAACAGGTTGAGTTAAGAAGAAAACACAGGGATAACAGTTGCACGTCTAGCTACGATAGTATGGAAGGGAAGTACGTAATTTTACTTTATCATGTACTATTTTTATTACCTCTTCAATTTTGAAGATGTACAGAAATTAGAAGGATTTATGCAAAACTCAAATTATTAATTTTTCAGTGCACCACTTCTTGATTCGTACGGAAAGGATCAAGTGTCAACATCTTCGCCACATATCACGCCACAAAAGACCCAGGAGCCTAATATAGATTTTGAACTCGACGTTAAAGTGCTGATCAACAGTGGAAAATGCGTTCTTCATACGAAAGATCCAGCTAGAGACGATGAACTTAAATTGTAAGTATCGAAGCTGAGAAACAAAGATTGAGAAATCTACAAATGGATATCATGGCAATTATTTTTCATATTAATATCGCCAATATTTCAGGATGAGCCGAATGAAAAAAGAAAGGTCCTGTTCCGGGGGAACATTTGAATTCCAACCGAGCAGCCCTAGCAGCAGTAGGAAACATTTGAGCAGCAAGGAAAAATCTTCTACGACGAGCGCATCGAGACTGCGTTATCTGTATCACTCGAACGTGCCTTTGGTTGATTTAACAATTTTCCATATTCCAGGATTAGACGTAAAGGTGAGTCTTACCCGAATTAAAAACACTAGGTATAATCGGAAGTTTTATAAAATTTAAAACTCGTCCCGACAACTTGTACATGAATAATTATAACTACGAAGTACCTTGAAATTCCAAAAATGTAGATATAAATTCAATCGTTCTCAGGTTCACTACGAATCAAGGACACTTCCCGAAGAGTCCATCTCACCTCGGATGGGAGACAACAGTTTATTGAGCCCTGCATCGATGACGATGCTGAAGAAGTCCAGCACCAAAAAGGCGAGTCTCTTCGCGGGGATGACGCTCCAAAGCATCCCCGAAGAGACCATCATCAGCCCCCACATTTTGGAGTTCTTTGAACAGACTTTAGAACCAATACCTAGCAAAAGCAATTTCCATAACGTGGGTCAGACAAGTACGGTCTTTCCACTGGATAGCATGGAAAGCTCATCTTGGGCCGCCTCTGCAGCGAGTGGAAATTATGTTTATGCGAGTTTCCCGGTGGATGTGATAGTGTACTTCCACATGCAACCCTCCACCTTCAGGTACACATTGGGGCGCTAAATAGGAAATCAAGCTAGTACATATTTACCGCCGGAATGATACGGTTGTTAGAACATTTTCAATTAATTCTGATATAATATCCTCGATTCTCAGGTTTTCCTGTTTACCAGTGTCAAGGGTGGAGTGTATGCTCCAGTTACCGTCACTGGACATCGTGTTCTCTTCGAAACGAGCCGAAGAGGAGCTTCCTGAGTTCAGGGAGTACAATTCGTCCAGCAGCCAATCAGTAAACATGGGGAGAGAAAGCAGTTCAGCTATCGGTGGTTTATCGGTCACGGGATGTCTGGCTGATTTTTCGGTCTATGTCTTTCATCCTTATGGCGGTGGAAAAAAATCTGGAGTTAAGGAAGCCCAGTGGTCTCCATTGTCCGACAGCGAGAGGAAGGATTCCCTCAGCATCAACGTCGAGTTCGTCAAGTTTCATCTCTCCAGGAGCAGGAAACTGAACTTCCAAAGCGAACAGGCGAAGAAAATCACGGACTCCAGCAGAGCCGTCATTCGGTTCTCCAGTATATATATTTTGTACATTGTTTAACCCTTTGCGGGATTCTAAGCTAACATCACGAAGGCAGACACCTGGTCTGAGCCCGTCTCAATGTTCTAACTACAAAGTGCAACAATTAAATCGTGAGTTTCAAGCGATGTACTTTATGTGAACCTGCGTTCTTGTATTTCAGCTATCATCGACATAGGATCGGCATCCTTTAAATACGACATGCGACGCTTGACGGAAGTCCTTGCTTTTCCTAAGGCTTGGTACCGCAGGAGCATCGTCAGAAGGTTGTTCCTCGGGGATCTAAGTTCAGCAGCGGCACATGCCGAAGGGGACAGCAATTCTTTCCCGAACCAAGAAGAGGCAGTCATGGGCAGCTCGTTGCTGAAACACTACGACAGACACGCCGGTGACCCGCTCTCGAAAAGCGCGCCTGAACGAAGTCCTACATTAAATAGAGATAAATTGAGACTAAGCCTTGAAACCGACGCACCGAGACCTACTCGACTGAAAGGTATTAATAAAATTATTAAGAAAAACATTATCTTCTCGTGATATCAAAATTCCTTAGCTGTTTCTTAGATGTATTCATCTAATAATAATTTCAAATTTTAGACACCGGAAGAGGATGGAGCTTCAACACGGAGAAGCAAACGTCGTCGGAAGTTAAATTGCGGGAGTCCGCTTGGGAAACCTTGGTGCTGTTTGCGGTTAATTTTACTCGATTAAACGTCCACATGAACATGGGCAACGTGATGGGGAATGTGTCATGGATGACCAAGGATTTTCGCTCCGATGGAAGGCTTTCCATAGGCAGTACCGGTCACAAGAATTTGTACATTGGTGTTGGCTTAGGAGGCTCCAGTTTGGATGCCAAAGGCGGTATAGTTGGTGGAATTATAGAGCTCAGCAAAATTGATACCTACAGTAAGCACCGATTTATGAGGTCAGATGGTGAAGTGGATGCTTCAAAATCTAGAACAGTACACGAGACAGGTTTTATCGATTAAAATTTCGTGCGTTACAATTTTCCAGCTCATATTCGAGAAGAACCAGGAACTGAACCCGATCATACCGTGGGGTTGAAATTATTTGCCTTAGAACTGAGATTAGACTACATGGGAACGAGTGTATTGATGTCAAGAGTCTCTTCGTTGGATGTTACCCTGAGAGACGAGTGGAAAATCAACCGAAATAGCGGTGGCGATGCTTTTATGCCAACTCGACGGTTCGTAGTCTTTGCAAATTCATCTTTTATGGTATCGCGTTAATGAGAGTTTTTGATTTCTTTATATTCAGACCTGCGATTATCTTCATGCATGGTAACATGGGGTGGGACCAACTGCAGCTCATGATCAGCAAGTCCACCACTGCGGATTTGTTGAAGATGTTTTACAAGCTCGACGAGTTCTTTAGCCAACAATTCAAAAGCAGCAAACGGGTGTTCAGTTCGTTGCAGCCTAAACATCAAAGAATGAGCAACAACAGCATGAAGAAGAAGCAGCAGAAGAAGAAATCTACGGTTGATGGTAAACGTTATTTTTTTTTGCAATTAAGTAATCAAGAAAATGCATAGAAACCTAAATCACTTTTTTTTTTTTTTTCGTTTAGGACCATGGACATGTAATCAGTCAACGATAACCGATGCTCGTCACCATCGCCATTGGCAGCGAGTTTTGGCCCAAGTTGCCGGTTTGCAATTGGGAAGCTTGAAATTTTCATTACCCTCCAATGGTACGGTTCTTGGAGGTACGATGGAGTTGCACGGTTCAAATATAAGCTTGGCCTGCTTTCACGGGATAAACTTCAAAAGTAAAAGCTGGGCGCTGTTCTCTCTAAAGGAACCTTGCATCAGCTTCGCTACAGAAGCACAAGAAATACCCAGTGTTGAATGTAAGACTCGTTATTTTTTTTTCTCGACTCATATTTTTTCTAGGATGTCCTATTATTTTTATTTACGGTTATATATTTTAAAGTCTCAATTCTTTTGTACATAGCGCCAGAAACGTGTGACGTTCATGTGGTGCAAACGCTAACGATTAGTTTGGGTCAACAACAAGAACAACATGCCAGGCATCATTCCATGGCTACGGTGTGTCGTCTTAGTTGCAGCGTTTTGTTCCCACCTCAGTTCAAGACTTTACAAGAATGGTTCCACTACGCTTTTGCCAATAGCGATATCGACGGTAAGATCAAATTTCGTGAAGGTTATATCAAAACACCATGCTACAAATATTTAATAACAGTATACGAGTGGTCATAATGACGACCGCCATTTAGTAGAAATTATGTTTACACATACTTATTTAATTGATTTACGAGTGGCAACTAATGAATACTAGTATTTTTTTTATACCACTTCTCCATCGGGCTAAATAATATCTTTGTACTAAATTTATAGCGGTGGATCGATTTCCTTGCGTCGAGAGAGAAAGAACGGACAGCACATCCGAGGGAAGTGGCAGCATGAATCGAGGCAGAAGCACTTCGGCTACGCCTGGAAAATTACAAGAGCATTCCCACACGCGAGAAGTGATATTTGCGTTACCTTCCCTGCAATTGCACTTGAAGACCGAGCACTTGCAAACTGCCAGGACTCCAGATGTCATCGGTAAGCATAAAAACTTTTTGACAGGATTATCCTCGACTGTCATAATAATTTATTTTGACAAATTATAATCGTTTCACTTAATCGAAAAAGATAATGACAGGACAATGGTCACTGTGAATACGTTCTTCATTCTTTGTAATTGTTTGGCAAAAACAGAAACATGCTAACCTTGAACTTACCATTTAAAATAAATGTACTATTTAAGTTCGATGAGCAATGGATGCATACAAAGGTATACAATAGACAAGTATAAAAAGAAGCAAAGATATCTGCATCTTTGCTTAATGAGAATAATAATTCCTAGTACTGAAACCTAACCACCATCGATATTCACATGACGTTCTCTTCAGATATTTTTTTTGTATATTTTTAGGCCTGCCTAAACATAATTTATATAGTAAGTATTTCGTGTCAATGGATTTTCATTTCCTTTAGCAGCGAAATGTGAACTGTGCTTCTCGCCGCTTAATGATTTTACTTTTAGATTAGCTGAGTGATTTTAATCCATGTAGTACGCATTGTGCAAAGTTCTGCATGAAGCAAGAAACATTTCCAAGCGACGATATTCAGTACACGACGATAGCTTGTAGCGAAAATTAATTAGCATTTCTGTTAAAAGCTATTAAATATTTTAATCGCATACACATAAGCAGATGAGTGGACTTTAAATACACATTTATCGAACAGGTGAAAAACCATTGGTCGAATGCAGTTTCATCACTGAATTCGAAGATCATATATTCGTTACGGTGGATGCGGAAGCGTTCTTCTTTTTACACGACCTGATCACGTCATATGTAAAAGAGAAAGAAAAAGTGGTACGTACTTTTAGTTGTGTGTTCTACATAATATTTTTGTGGATTCTCATGAGATACTTAGAACTTTTATGTGGTTCAATAGAAATATCGACAATGTGTAGAAAGATTGATTCAGAGACTGTTCCTTCCATGTAAATATTCTAATTTATTTAATTATCTTATTATAGCACACAATGCAAAATTTAGGCGCTAGAGCGCATAGTCCAGATCCTCATGAAAAGAGAGGTACGACCACGAGCCATACTGGACCTTCGACAACAGTCACCATCACAACAGAGGATGAGAGAAAACGCAAACAGTTTGATCCTGCTGAGATGTTCATAAAAGACTGGCGATCTTATCGGTGTAAGACCTGGCATTTGGAACCCACTGTTCGGTATGAACCAGATTTTTGTAGAACATATAAAAGTGCTTAATTTTGATCACTGCATTTTTTATAATTTTCTTGCTGTTTACGCTTTACCATTTTTAGATTACTTTCCTGGGCGGGAAAGAGCATCGAGCCGTACGGTATAGACTACATCCTACAAAAATTGGGCTTCTCTCATGCTCGCACCACCATACCGAAGTGGGTCCAGCGAGGCTTCATGGATCCTCTGGACAAACTGCTAGCCGTTCTTATGTTAAGAATGGTTCTTGCCGTGCGGGAAGAAACGCCAGACGAGAAGGAACACAAAAGAGACAAGTAAATTATCTGCCGATGGATCGTCAGGCCACAAAAGACAACTACAGAATGATCTCCGCTGCGTTCGTTGGAAATATTCAATTCTCACGGGGAGCAGCTTTCAGTCTTATATGAAATAGCTATTTTGATGTTAGTTAATTGTATTTATTGTGTCCGTAGTCAAGGCATAGAAAGAAGTGACTCCAAGATGTGAGGTTAGTTTCTAATTAGAGGTTATACGGGAGAGGAAGATAACTACGACAACAGGTGTTTATTTCTAGGGCGCGCAATCGTGAGCGTGTACATGATGTACTCAGTGTAAATTTCATATCTAAGAGTACACTATGTTTATATACATATATATATATATATATATATATATATATAGACGTATATATACAGTGTGTGTCGGTTAACATTACACTCAAAATGAACCCTTCGTTTTGAATTCTATTAAGAAGCCTCTCGGGTCGAGGCTCAATGGTTTGGCGGTGTCTTGTCAGTCAGCAGAGGGATTTAATTTCCAATACAGAATGACGTTATTTAATGCAACTCAATGGTAATGGTTCTGTTCTTTATGTAAAAATGTAAGAAATTTTTAATGGTGTAGTTCGATTTTAAATTGCGATCCCTCATCATAGCCTCTTCCAGTACCTTGCATTTCGTCGGGAAATCCTGTACGTATGTATGTATGTGCATACGTACATATGTGTATGTATTTACGTTTATGTATATTATAATATCAGGATTGTATGACCAATGCTCTGGATAGAGGGGATACTACTGTGAAAAAATTTAGAAAAGATGCATGAGAGATAAATGAGATTAAAAAAGTTCCCATCTCTCAGACTAGTTTGCAGCGTATCTCTTCTATTTGTAGTGAAAGTGGGTCGGAAGATTCCTGATAGAGTGATTTTCTCTCGATGGAGCAAAGAAAAGGCTTCAACGACAGTTAGTTGAAAGATGTAGCGTAGAAGCATGTTAAGGAAAATCACTATGTCAGCAATCTGCCTTCCTACTTCTATTTGCAGCTGGTCCAAAGTCACGAATATGTTGTATTATACTTTTGTTTCACCTCGAGGTCCCCCAGAAAATAATCGCGTACTGCTTTTGCATGTATAAAGGTGCAGCAGGAGAATCGTATCGACAAGTGTAATCTTAAGAAGGTATCGAAGGATTTTATATTTCTTTTTATGTGTGATGCTTCTTCGTTACGGTAGCTAAGACGTGAGATAGATGATTATTGTAAATCGGCTTTAGGCGAAGAAAACGATGTTACGAATCGGTAGGACATATGGAGACGGTAATTCACATTTACAATATGTTTTGTACAGGACACGCATAATAAAATGTGTAAACCTGTATGCATAAGATTTCTGATACACATGAGGATGGTTTTAATGAATATTTACTTTTTAAACACAAGGTACCGTCTCGTGTCTAACGAATTTCATCCTTGACTGATCTGGCGTACATTCCAATTTTAGAAACATTTCAGATTTGAATAATGAATTATATTTGGAAAATTTATTAAGCATTTATAGCGACCAGAAATAATCGATGCTCTTACGCTAACATGTTGTCAATCCTACAAGAATTGTAGGATACATAAATTGAAAAGGATCTATACCCAATCGCTACAAGTATTCAAATAATTACAATATGTATTTGTATAACAAGCATAAATATTTATTTTAAATGTTGGGATAAGAAAACATGTATAAATGAACACAACATGAAATTACTGGTTCAACTATTTAAAATAATAAAAAAAATGAGTGATCGCCAAAACAAGATCATCCGCTACTCGGAAAAAGTTCAACATTGACTTTTATGTCATAGGCACAAAGTTATCGGAACAAAAATGCAGCATGCCAGCTTTGTAAATTTCATGGAGTCTTCTCGTACTGATATCGTTGAGTTCTTGCCTACCGTTTCTAACTAGACCTTTAATATAAGTGACATGACCTTTCTATATCGACGAGTGTAATATCAAAATTATTAATTATTTGTGCAGTGTACTATAATACGAAATTCCGTAGTCAAGGCCCCTCCTGATTAAGTAATGCAATTCCCATATGCGACCATTTAAATTTGAAACATTTTTCAAATCAGATCAACTATTTAATTAACCCTAAAATAATTACCAACTTATCTCAATAATACAAGCTAATAAAAAAGTGACGACACACATTTTTTGTTGATACTAGCATGATACTTGTATAAAAATTGAATCATCGTAACTACATATCTTTACATTTCTGAAAACATGATAAACAAAAAAAAGTTAACATGTAAACAATGAGTGCGAGCCTTTTTAAAGTGCGGTACAATCACACCAAAAACTTATCGTTCATTCAATTCAATTGAACGTCATAACGCGTAATCTCTAAAATTGGCACCTTCTTCAATGTTTAAATTCAATGGTTATTCAGAAATGAGCCAATCGAAATTACGTACAACTAAAAATTAAATGCTGCATGATACATAAGGCACTAGCATACACTTGATACTTCCGTATCTAACAATAAAAAATAAAAATGAAGATCGGATTAGCTTCCAACTGCTCACAATTTACTGAAAAGTACGTAAGTGAAAGGAACGATTAAGCCAGTCTTAGTCCATGTCGACCCCAAGGAAGCTTTCACGATCCACCAAACGAGGCCTAAAAGTAACACTTGAAGTCCTAGGTGGGCAATGAGTAACCTGAAATTAAACCAAAGTCATTAACTAATATATATTTTAATACTTTAAACCTAGTAACTTTCGGAAAAATTATATCTATCACATGTCTAACGTCCATCGGTATCACTTACATCTTATCCTTGGCCCGAGCTTTCTCCAAATTTTTTGGACTTTCTTTGCTCAAATATTGCCGAACCCCCAGAGTCAATTTCTCGAAGAAATCTTGCCATACTAAAGGCCGGATATCTAATGGGAACGCACGTTTATCATCTGCTGATAAAGATTCGTGCAACTCCAGAGTACGAGGATTATAAAACTTCCATTCGGTGAAAATAAATTTCTCCAAACGATCCAATGAATTGTTTACATTGGTGTGCAACCGTACCAATCTAAAGCAAAAATGGATGTACAGAAAAACATTGAATGCACTTCTAATATTAATATTAATAGAAGAATAATGTATGGTAGATATGTCCCCAGTTTCCGGGGCAATTTCATACTTACATGGGACGGCCACCGGATATTCTTGTAATTGTATCAAGAATGTAAGCTGGTATCATGTGTACAAAGAAAGCTGAAATTTTGAACATCAGTATAGATGGAGATAATTTAAGATGCGGATACCAGACTGCACTTTTCAGTGGATACATATGTAAACACATGTTTACTTTATCTTCTATTGACTCCCATTTGAAAGGATTACAAGTACTCGATGTGCAGTGGTATACCTTTACGCCAGGACCACTGGAAAAAAAAAAAGTTTATCATAAATAAGTCAACCAATCTCAGTTAAAGAATAAATCATATTCACGCTTAGTTATATTTATAACAATTTACTAACAAAGAATTTTGTCTATCTTCAAACCATAATTAAGTCATAACATTAATTAATCGTACCTATCACGGTGAAGAGCATAGGCAGCTACGATTAGATGATTAACAACGACGTCCACTGGAATGTAATCGTAAATTAAATGTTTTGCAACGGGTAATCTTCGAACGACTCCCTTACTGGCTCCCATCAGAAAACCTTGGGGACCATTTTTCGAAATAGTCCATCCAGGTATTGGTTCTTTCCATGCTCCTAGGACTGCAAATATTTAAAGAGATCATTTTATAATTGCCAATGCAGTATTCAAATAACACTTTTTATTTAATGATTATAAAGCTGTAAAGATTTGTAAGTTAGGAATAATAATATCAGATATTATTTGTCAACTTACTCATTGATGGGCGAACAATAGAGGCAGGCAAACCGCTATTGAGGATTTCATGCTCTGCTAAATGCTTAGTAAATGTATAAGGATTAGCATGATTTTTTATCAACTTTGGCGTGATAGCAGTTAGTTCTTCGTCGTTCAGTTGCGAGCTCAATTTCAAAACTTCATTTACATCTGCTGGGGGAGGATAAATCTGTTCGTTAGCTTCTAGGATAGTAGAATTTACATAGGCACTAGATACATGTACGAGCGCCTGAAACATGGTATTTTAAAATGCATGTTAGTAAAATAAATGTGCAGACTCATAAGTTTTATTTCCAATTCTAGTTATTGGAAACATTTCTTGATCCGCAAGACTTTGATGGCATAAAAAAACTGTTACAAAAACATTATGCAGATCACTAGCATTCCACCAGTTGTTTACCTTGAGATCTCGGATTTCGTGACAGAGCTGAACAACTCTTCGTGTTCCCAGCAAGTTAATATTTACGGTCGATCGTAAGTCAGCTTGAAAGTCCAAAGTGGCTGCTGAATGAAACACGACTTGAACGTGTTCTACCAAAGTCAGTCTATCGATAGCTGACAGTCCTAGATTTTCCTCTCCGACGTCTCCGGCAACGGCGATTAGCTTTTTAAATGGATCCTGGCCAGCCTCCGCTTTCAGCATGTCAAAAACCTTAAAAGAGGAAATAACAAGAATTTACTTAATGTTACTTTCTGCAGATCTTTACTTGTTTCAGTCACGATAATACAAGATATTTATTATAGAGAATAATTACTGACAGTACTAAATATGGTATATGGTGACAAAAATGACACGTAAGAAAAACTTTTTGAACGGAGAGTACAGAGTCAGGAGACGACGTCTCAATGCCATTCTTAATCAAATTCAAAGCCAAATATTCAAACGGAATTATTTTAACAGAAATTATTTTAGCTTTCAAGTCGTGTATAGAACATTACAGGATTCTTAGTGAGCTCCTCCAGTCTGTCCTTGACAGAAATGCCCTTTTTCGACCTCACTAGCAAGTAAATATTCCCAATATCCGGGCAGCATCTCAAGAGTTTCTCGATAAGACAGATGCCAACAAAGCCGGTGCCGCCGGTGATAAAGACGGCTCTATTGCGGTAGAAATCTGGAACGCGCGATGCCATGGCAACGTGTTTGCGTGTCGGTCCGATACAAAATTGCACGCACTTTCCACGACGTTTTTAAAAAACGGCACAATTCGTGGAACAAACAATCCACTGCCGAGATGAACGAAGAACTGAGAGAAATCGCGGGCTGCGCCACGGGGAGATGCAGGGCGATGTGAATTCCAATGTTGCATGGGTTGCTCGCGGATGATCTCCCATGCCGAAATCGTGAATTACTTCCCTGCCTTCCCTCTATTCCCGGGAGACCAGGGTATACGAAACTCGTCGAGTGCGACAAAGAAGCCTTATGTAGGAGGTCTCTCAAATGCCCCCTTCCCACGCCGCCAGAGTTACCAATGAGTCGACCTTGTATGCCATAGAATCCGGTGCGAGATTTGGCAACGTCGTAAAGAGAATAGTAGAAAAAACACGAATTATTTAAAACAGGTTTCCCAAGCTTCTTTTCTTCGAGATTTGTCAAACGATTAATGTTTCCCATTGCTACCTTATAATCTTACAAAAATTTGAAAACACACCAAGACTTTCTTTAGATAACACTCTGATGATGATAGCGGAGTAAATCGAAACTGCAGGGATTGTTTAAAAATTATTTCAAAAGACAGTAAAGTGGAACGCCGACGTATTTGAAGCAGAGAAACGCTGCCGCCTGCTACTCGTACTTTCCTTCTCTCTCTGTATCTCTAATTGCCTATTTCTCTGTCTCTCTTTTTCTTGCCCAGTCCATTATCTTCTAGTACGGTAAAATAACCGATGGGCGAGAGAAGGATAGAGCGAGCGGCATTAGCGCTAGTTGGACGAAGACGAGACGATGCGGTCGAAGGGAAATTCAACTCGACGAGAGGATACCTGCGAGCACCTGTTTCGTAAGCGTGTCAAACGCGCGGAAGGACGTACTGACGGTCCCTACGTCGTCTCGTGTACGTTGACAAATGTAAAATGAAATAACGCGATGGTGTGCGCAAGTGAGAAGAGGCTGCGCACTTATGCAACGAACCTTCTTTCAACATTGACATTTTTTACCCTGGCGACGAGACATTCCTTTGCGCATTTAGGAAACATCATGAACATCATCAGCAGAACCCCTTCTTTCTCTATGAACCCGATATGATTCTACATGCACAGTGAATATACTTAAAATATATATTTCTCACAAATATAGCAACTACTTATGATTGATTTATATATTTACCACATTCAAATTGACATGAAATTGAATTTAAACTGCTGTCGCAGTTATAACCACGTTAAGAAAATAACTAGAGCTGCGCTGAGAAAAATTGCAACTTCGGAGGAACATCCTGATAGGTACAAAAATGTCCAGAGAAGGTAGAAAGATAAATATGGAGTAACGGCCGCAATTATCCTCAACCTGCGAACAAAAATAAGGATCGATTTGAAATTAACGAGGATGCTTGTTACCACTTCAAATAACCTTGGGTAACAGCTCGTCGGTACATGAGAATGATTTTGTTGCCGCCGATTTCCTTCGTCATATTGCTCGGAAAATATCGAATCAAATTTCTGATCGAGCATAATATCGATTACCTCTATCATTATAATAGAGACAAGTCATTATCTAGAATCGACGTTACCCTGAGATCATACAATCGAGGCCATTTACAATTAAAAATAAAATCGTAACGAAGACTGCAAAATTACCGAGCCATTTGTCTACATGCGCTTTCGGTACTTTCTGCAGGCTCCTTATGGAAATATCGGCGCATCCCAATTACACAGTTTTTAAAATATTCGCTCCAGTTTATCAGCGCAGGATCCATCGGATGTGCTTCTCTTTCCTCGGGAGACAACATGTTTATTAATGACAAAGTTCTCTTCCGGCTGAACACCCATTCGTTTTCTGCAAAATATGCAGTATATTTGCATCCTTTAATATATCTGTGCTGAATATCCACGAGCCTGGAAAAAAGTGAGAATGCGACAAGTTACATTTAATAAAACATGTAGCAAAAGAACAACGCACATTCCGCCGCTTTTTGCGTCTTAGAGGCGATTAAATCCACCGTACGAGTAAATGTTTTAAATCCTTAGTATTAGTCGCATCGACATTCTAATTAAAATTCTTAATCAAGGATTACTTAACGTGTGATTACAGTTAAACACTCGATATCGGGAGATTACTCAATGGTGGATTTAATCTTCAATTACACTATTTTTCGTTGATACAAGACGACCGACCCTTAGCAATAGGAGTACTTAATAAATTACAATGCTCACCCATTTTTACGTTTAGCCACAGTTCCCAACAAATCAATAACATGAGCCGGAAGTAATTGAAAGATGTACATGACGGCAGCGTTTCTGAAAAAATTCGATCTCGGTTTGGCATCGGGATACCAAACAACATTTTTGCAAGGCTCACTCCTTGAAAATTTAGTCACTTCTTCGCAGTATTTGCCCCATGTCGACGGATTCGACATGCTGGATGTGCAGTGGAAAATGTGGAGATCCGTAGGATGTCGAGCCGCGTACAAAGCGGATGCCAAAATCGTGGACACGACCATGTCTGCAGGAATAACATCTTGTCTGATATCAGGACGTCCCTGGAAACTGAAGGAGATCCAAAAAATAAACGAGAGACGCCATTTGCCCTATCCTCTAAAGAAGAAGAAAAAAGTTCATTCTGCAGGAGTGAAATCCGCAAAATAACTCAACTTACGTACGAAACAGTCCTTTCGTCACTCCAGCGATGAATGCACAAGCACCACTATTGACATTGTCTACCCAACCTGGTTTCGGTACTTTCCAGGTATTCAGAACTATACTTGGCCTCACTATAGCGAGAGGTACATGCTCCCTTTCTTTGGCCAACAGATTTTCGGCCATTTGCTTCGAGAACGTGTACGTATTCGGGTGGTTCTCTATGAATTCGGCCGTCCTCCTTTCGATCTCCTGAGAAGTCATGTTCTTCACCTAAAAGAGAAATTAATTCGTTATCGCATTTATTTTCGCACATTCAGGGATCAATCTCGAATTAATTCTGTCGAGTTTCTACCAAAGAAATATTTCGATAATTCCATGAATTTCACTCAAACGAATTGCCATTATTCCGCATAAATGTTGCATCCAGTTTATTCCAGTTTGAGTGAAATAATTATTCTTTGAATTAACAAAATATTTCTTCAGTTCCATTACATATTTTTCTCAATGCAGCGGCAAAGTATGCCGATCTTCCTCCTGTCCTACTAAACCTCGGTAGAACTATCGTGTTGTTCGTATTTTTGAGAGAACCGTACGCGAGTGATTTTCTCGCAAGATCAATGTACAGTTATAGTAATCGCTTCCTGTTGCTATGCGACATAGCTCTAATGCACAGGGATTCCTCAACAATTTCGACGTATCCTTTACGCAGGAAGTCTTCTAATCTACAGACTACAATTATTTGTACCAGTATTATCGATTCTATCGTACAGAAATTCTCTACGAATTTTATCGGGAATAAACATCGGAGCAGAAAAAGCCCTTATAAAATTCAAATCGACGATGAAAACGATGGATCCTGCGATCCGCGATGAACATTGTACCACTGCCTGCATGCAAATCAGGTGGACATTGATCTCAGACTGGAATATCCTCGTAACGAATAACAGAGAAATATTCCGCGTACGTTAATAGTCGTGCTCTTCAACATCTCAAATCTTCGCATTGACATTACATCGTGGAAAAGTCCCGAGTCACCAGCGCGGGAGTGACCTTCGACAATTTTTTTAAATAAAACTCGCCCGGTAAGAATTAACTCGCACTCTGTACCATCCAATGCACGCAGACGTAAGCAGTGACGCTACCGCATAACAAGAATTTTTTTTCTCTCGAGATAATGATACAAAAACCTAATTCGGAATTCGCATGAACGTAGAAGGGTTCGAAAGCCAATGACTAGTTACAAAACCTCAACCAATCGTTATTCAACACCTTCAACGTTATTTGATTAAAATCGTCCGCCAAGCATGAATTAAACATGGCCTCAAAGCTGATAAGTTCTCAGCAAGAAGAAAAGAAAAAAGTGTCTAAATGCTCGCGATAAAAATTAAAATGAATTAATCCATGCAGCTCGATGACGATGTCGAGCTCATTTTTTGCAGTTTCAAGACGGATAACTTAACGGAAGTGACAAATTGTCAGAATTAATTTTTAATCTACTTTTTCCTTAACGGATTGACACTAACCGTATGAATAAAATCAACCGAATCTATTCCTGTTGGGTAAAGTTTCTCGTCCAATCGAGAAGTGCCTACGGTGCAATTCGCATACGCCGTCGATACGTGAACCATGGCACGTATATTCGGCATATTTTTTGCCAAGCCGAGGACATGTCGAGATCCGAGGAGATTGATCCTTGTGGCCATTTCTAGCTGCGCGGCGAACGAGATGAAAGCCGCCGAGTGCAGCACCAGGTTGCATTTCGAAATTAGGAGATTGCTGTCCGCCGACGAGAGGCCGAGTCCTTCTTCCGTAATGTCTCCTGGAATTACCTGTACTCGCTTCAATCTCTCTGGATCTACATCTGAAAACAACTACGCCCAGTGTTGTGACAGTTACGATGATTTTCCGTCATGTTAGTTCTAACTTCTAGGCCTTGCATACTAAGAACAAAAATTCATTGAACCAAAGAAATATTTTTTTAATTCCAAGAATAATTATTTCACTCGAATCAATTGTCACAATTCCGAGTAAATGTTGCATCCGATTTATTCGAGTTTATTTGAAGGATCAGACTTTTTGTAAATAATGTTTACGATGTGCACGGTTTTTTATCGTCTGAGGAATCTTGGTATGCGAGCACCCAGGAATGTAATTAAGAGAAAAAGTGATAACGCTTACCGGAGACGAAAGTATCTCGTTAAACCTGACCTGAGGATCGACATGTTGTCTTTTCCTCACAAGGACGAATACCTTTTCCGGTCCAGGACCAATCCTGAGTATTCTCTCCAACAAAGTACCACCCACAAATCCAGTTACTCCCGTGAGAAGTATGCAGCTGTTGGATATTAAATCTTGTATGGATTCTAGCTGCATCCTGGCGGGACAGAAATGGTAAAATATTAATATGTAACCGAAAGCACGACTTCCGACGTAGGTACAATGGCCGAAGTTGAACTGCGACATTATTAAACTGCACATTGTCAGTGACGAAACGCCGTGAAGGCAAAATGCTCACGTCCGCAAATTCCTGGCTAAATTTTCATAGTATCAAGGTCTGAGATTTTTAACATTTTCTGTAATCCCCCCGAATCCTTAAACAAATTTCACCAATTTATATATTTTAACGAGTGGAGTAAATGTACCATTTCACCTGCATACTTTCTCAAAAATCCTCTTTTTATCATTACTCCTAAATAATGCACCGTTAAAAATATTTCGCTATTTCAATGTTTACTAAAAATTAGAAAACTCGTAATGAAAACCTAAAAAATGTATGTTATCATACATTTCAAAAGACACTATTTCTACGTGAAAATTCCTACAAAAGTATTCAAAATTTTAAACAACCACGCACGTACGCGCAATTACGGGGTGTAGCGGGCGACATCAGCGGCGAAATTGTAAACTAACTTCGGCAACTGCGTCGGTAAAGCAACTTGATTTGGCAGAGATGAGTTGGGAGATTGCCATAATGGTAAGCCACCACCGTCAACTGCCGCATGGTATTACCATTACGAATACGTGAGCCGCCGACGGCAACTGGTAGATGGCACAGCCATCGCGAGTGCGCGAGCCCCTACCAGAAATTCGTTGCGTCGCCCTTGGGGGCAAAAAACGGTGAAAGCTAACGTACGAAACCAGAGGGCAGCACACGATGCGATCGCGCGACCCTGCCCGTGAGCAATCTCCCAACTCATCTCTGACAAGAAACGGAACGGGCGCCATTTTGAATCAGGGTGTGGTTAATAAAAATTCACCCTTCGATACAGTTTCAATATAAATAAAATCTAAATTAAAGCTATTACCCAGAAAATAATGTAAAAACGTCCTTTTGAAGACAGGATCACCGATCGCATCAAGATCGTCAGGTTTTTGTTTGGTCAAGGTTTCAAGGATGATAAATTCCTAAAATGAACGTAAACCCTCAATATTTAGGATGAACACACGTGAAAAGGCGTCTTCAATCCTTACTCTAAATGGCCGAAAATCGTTTTCCAACCCCAAAAGTAAGATACGAGCCCAAGGAATAAATAATTCAGAATATGACTCGAAAACTAATAAATAGCGAATTTCACATCAGGTTTTCAAACCTGAAAAGCAAGAACATACCGAAATTCCCGATTCCTCCCCCTGACCCCCCGGGAAAGCGAGTAGAAGCAGAGCCCTCAAGAGGGAGTTGCACAACTCAAGATGGCGGCCGCGTCACCCGTCGAGGTGGCGCGCGACCCTCCCTTCTCAGTCCGCATTCTCCTCTATGGCTACGCGTCCGTCTCTCCCCTGGTGAGATTTCTCGGTCCTCGGTTGGGAGCCCTGACGGGATTTGGCAGTTGCCCCAAGATGGCGGTCGCGGCTGGCGTGCGACGGGCACAAGCAGAAAAGTGGAAAAACCCTGTTAACTACGGAATTCTGTGTTAAACCGGAGGCGCGAGCGGGGCGCCTTGGCCGAGGAGAGCGCCCGAGAGCGCACCCCAGCGTCGTTAGGCACAGGTACGTCCGAAATCGGCGATCCGGGGAGGGTTTCCTCGGAGGCAAGCCGCGCCTTAGGGGGGCGCGAGCCCCGGCTCTCTTTGGCGAGGCCGGGTCGCCGGCCCGAGGAAGGGCCCCGAGGAGCGCGTGCCGATCGATCGCCGAGTCACGCGCCAGGACTCGCCGCCGCTCCGGGACCGGCAGACCAGCTCTCCCTCTCTCTCGCGCCCGCGCGCCCCCCGCGCGCTCCGTCTCTCTCGCTCCCACGGCGGCGGCAGTCTCCGAGCTCGCCTACGCGCCCCTAGGCGCGCGACTCCGATATTCCTGATATCCCTCGGACGAATCTACCCGTCTTCCCAGTTCGACCTCTCGCTCCCGTGGCGCCCGTAACGCGTGATCGATGCCGGCTTCGCCGAGGAAAAATCCATCCCCCGGGCACGAGAAAAGGCGAGGTTGGGTTGGATCTCCGAAGGGCGAACCGTGAATGAAGATCAGCACGGGAGTAGTCTCGAGCCGTAATCGATGCGATTTGGGAACCAGTGTTATGTAAATTATGGCTTAGGGCCAATTAAACTCTGAAAATGTGCAACCAACGTGAAACCCAGAGGTGTGCTTTCCTCCTCCGGGATGCGATTGTACGTAACCTCGAATTTTCACGGAGACCCTCTCCGCCTTGACTTTATCTCATCCGTACCATCTTAACCAATAATTCCTCCAGATTCCTACACAGCACGGAAGTGGGCCGAAATCGTGACGTTCCGTAAGAACGGTGAGGCAAATAGGCTTTATGTTATAAAATAAAACTTCTCGATAATTAAACCGGGAAAAAAGAAATAATCTGGAAAGAAATGTACAGATTTCTCGGTAAACTCGCGTGTAATCAATCCGGGGAGGTATACTCCGGGTTCCAGCTCTCTCCGATTGCTCGAAAGGTCCAAAGGTGGACGAAAAAAAAATTCTAGGAAAGATAATTACAATCTCTTAAAAGCCTTTCTACGTAAACCGGTGACGTTCTCGGTGGCGATGGCTCGATACGGACAGCTGAACGGGCGGAGGAAAGATAAGCGGGAATGGTCGATATTTTCGGAAAATCGGGGGAAAGGGAAGGAATGGGAAAAAAAGACGAAAAGCGGTTCCGCGTCCAGCCGGCCGTGCCCGAAAAGTACAATCGCACTGGAAACGGCAACCCGGGCGGCCGCCTCCCGCCTCCCGCCGCCCACCCCGCCGCCCGCCTCCGCGCTCGCCCCCTCGAATTCCGATAATTCGATAATTTTATTAAGACACCGATATATACCCCGCAGGGCTGCGACCCTCCGCCAGAAGGTGTCCGTGCGTCTTCTTTCCGCCAACCCCAACCTTCGTCCGCAAGTCTACCCCTCGAGAGATCCCCTAACCTCGCTAGGGGATCCGTTATTTTTTATCTCGAGATTAAATGACCCCTGCTAGGAAATGATAAGGAAAGGGTAAAGTATAAAAATTGAGGGAAAGTTTAAAATATCGCCAGGTATGAAAAGTAATTCCTGGATGATGGGGGGATATTTTTTAAACTTGGTGCGCAGAGCGTTGGATGTAGGACTTATTTTTTTTTAATTTCATGTTAAATGTATACTCGTATTTACAAGTGAATTGAGCTGACAAAATATTTTCTTTGGTTCGATGAATCTCTTTTTTTCCTCGGTGTGGCAATAATTTCCGGAAAGGATTCGGAGGTGTGATGAGTCCCTCCTCGAGAAAGTCCTCAGACCTCGAAGTGCGCGTCCTCTTCTTCTGCATCCCCTGCTACCCTTCGTCCCTACCCCGAGAGGCTCCTTGACTCTCCCCTGGAATTCTACGCGAATTCGTAGGGGTTCCCATGGGAGGGTGCACCTCCTCCCTGTTTTTTCCCCGCGTGGCGAAATAAGTAAAAAGGAATGCAACGTCGACGTTGAACGCGCTCACCGACGGGGTGGTTATAACGTAGCCCAACCACGTTTAACCGTTTCCTCTTTTTCGAAAAAACTGAAAACCCCAAAAAACACGCACAAATCCTGGTAAAAGGATTCATTGAAAAGCGTGGAGCATCCCCTTTCACATAAACCGATCGGAACTTCCGATCAGCTGTTCGTGAAAATTCAGGTGAAATCGGGGAATGAGAATTTAAAGAGTCAGGGGGTTTTCGAGGGATGAGGAGATTTGCGAGTTACAAAGCGGGATCCGTCTTTATCGGAAGATATTCATCCGAAGATTCATTCCTCGGCGGAAATATTGACTCCAGGGCGGATTGTGCTCCGATTTTCAGGTGACATTTATCCCCGTAGGTACACTCGGGGTCTGGGACTCCGATTGGTTAACAACGAGGTTTCCCCGCGGAATAAATTCCGCCCCGACGACGCGACGGCTCGACTTTGCGGTTTTACGCGGAATTAATTAATTCATAAACGATCTATACACACGGGGGAGGATCCAAGAGAACCTGTGTACGCGTCTTTTTTCTTTTTTCTTCACTTTTATTATCAGACCATTTTTTAATCCAGATTGGGATTTTTATTGCATTGTATAATGGAGGGCAGGGTTGATGTCTCATATCGCCTCGTTTGATCCGGTTCACATTACACGTGGTTATTCGTATTTATACCCCATCGGTCTATTTATACTGCCTCTTCGACTCCAAAATTCAGGGCCACGACCTCTCCCTCGGATTCCCCGGAAATCGGAAGCTGGCTGGACCGGAAATTGGCCGGATAGGCTCGCCTTAAGAGAATTTAAATCGCCCCTCGATCCGATATTACACCTAAACAAATAGCCCGGCGTTAATGAAACCTCCATTAGGACTCTTCCCCTCCTGCTCTTCGTACGGTGTTAAATTTAGATCTCTGTTTTCCGCCCCTTTCTCGAGTCGAACCGCGATTGCTCGGAGTTTTCGCCGGGATTTCTTGAAAAGAAAATTTATTTATCACGTTTAACGTTCTACTCTAGAGTCGCGTTTAAAAGTACAGAATTTCGGTTCTCTATAAATTTTCTATTAACGATACTCGAAATCCCTGCAAATAAATACTACGTAATCAGGTGTTAATGCTTAAAGTTATTCAGTGCATCCAGTTTGGAGGAAAGTTTTATACTTTGAACTTTTGATGTACACCACACTTTCGTAACACCTTAAGAGTGTCGTTATACGAAGATTAAGGCAATTAGTTCGCGGATTGGAAGCGGTCTCGCGTCGACCGAAATTCCGGCCTGAAAGTTACATTTTGCGCGTTAAATATACACCTAATTCCTAAATATAGTCTCGAGGAAGCCACGATGTGTACTTACATACTTACCAGGGAGTGCTACGTCCGCTTATTAATAATCCAGCGCTCGGTTCGCCGCGATTGTGGCTAAATTATTAATAAGTTGCCGCTCGTATCGTACGAGATGTTTATGCGCCTCGTTTACGCCGTTCGCGCGCCAATTAAATCGGATATCCCCCGTTTTTCTTTTTCTTTTTTTTTCCTT